CATCTGCCAGCTGCAGAAGGCCAGCTTACTGGGATCTGCATGCATCATTCGCGTCTGCTGTGGAATCATCTTGTTGTGTTTATAATATTATTATTATTATTATTATTATTATTATTATTATTATTATTTATTATTTGTAGACCGCCCTATCTCCCTGAAGGGACTCAGGATAATACTAAGAGAGATCTGGCTTTTCATTCCTGTGTGACAGAAAACTGTCAACCCTTCCATTCACAACCCAAAAGGCGTTATCCATTTTTGGGTTGTTTATATCTGCGCCGAGCCATCAGAAGTCATACCTTTGGGGCGCTTCAAAGTTTGACTTTCCACCAAGCTGCACAGACAGTGAACAAACATGTCTTCGGGATAAACAACGTTCTTAAAAGCATGACGTGACCAGCGCATCTCGCTTCAGAGACCTGACGTCTTGTGGAACGTGAGATCGAGGACTTGTTTACGGTACCCAACCAGCCTTTTAAAGTGGAATTACGGCACTGCTGAACATAGCAGCTCTTTTCAAATGGGCTCATTTAGGGGTCAAATGAAATGAGTACATCACCCAAATTTCACCAGAACAGTAGGAAGAACGTCTTTGCCGTAAGAGATGTCTGACAATGTTCAGGAAGCTGGTGGAGTTTCAAACTCATCCCGACTCTTTCCTCCCCAAAAAGTGAGGCTTACATAGACTCTTACAGGTGCGTCATAGTGTAAGAGTCTGGTGGTAAATAACATCTGCTTGTAATTTCTCCTTCCCTGGCCAAAAAGACACATTGAGAAAAATAAACCATCATGTGGGATCATCTGTTGGTGATTAATAGCACACCTGTCCGAAAGCTCTGCTGTTACGATGCGTCCGTTGGAGGGAAAGGTTGACCGTTCATCATTCCATGTTGTCGGGGTTGTATTGATTTATTGTTGGCAAAGACGGTGCCAAGACTCGTGTTCTTTTGCTTTGGCCAAATGACGGTCTGAAATCTGGAACCAGGGCTGAACCTGCTCCGCTTCCAAGTTCAGATGGTGATTTCAAGTCCAGTTATGGGCTTTACAATCCAAGGAGGGCTGGATGGAAACTGTAAGGTGTGGTGCCCAAAATATGTCATCACCGGGAATGACCCTGTGTCCGGTTCTGGGCCACACAATTCAAAAAAGAGATGGACAAGCTGGAAAGTGTCCATAGGAGCATGACCAAAAGTGATAAGAAGACATGAGTGGTCTCAACATCTTTATTAATGACTTAGATGAAGGGCTAGAAGGCATGATCATCAAGTTTGCAGACGACACCAAATTGGGAGGGATAGCCAATACTCCAGAGGACAGGAGCAGGATTCAAAACAATCTTGACAGATTAGAGAGATGGGCCAAAACTAACAAAATGAAGTTCAACAGTGACAAATGCAAGATACTCCACTTAGGCAGAAAAAATGAAATGCAAAGATACAGAATGGGGAAATGCCTGGCTCGAGAGCAGTACGTGTGAAAAAGATCTTGGAGTCCTCATGGACAACAAGTTAAACATGAGCCAACAATGTGATGTGGCGGCAAAAAAAGCCAATGGGATTTTGGCCTGCATCAATAGGAGCATAGTGTCTAGATCCAGGGAAGTCATGCTCCCCATGCTCTATTCCGCTTTGGTTAGACCACACCTGGGATATTGTGTCCAATTCTGGGCACCACAATTCAAGAGAGATATTGACAAGCTGGAATGTGTCCAGAGGAGGGCGACTAAAATGATCAAGGGTCTGGAGAACAAGCCCTATGAGGAGCGGCTTAAGGAGCTGGGCATGTTTAGCCTGAAGAAGAGAAGGCTGAGAGGAGATATGATAGCCATGTATAAATATGTGAGAGGAAGCCACAGGGAGGAGGGAGCAAGCTTGTTTTCTGCTTCCTCCTTGGAGACTAGGACGCGGAACAATGGCTTCAAACTACAAGAGAGGAGATTCCATCTGAACATGAGGAAGAACTTCCTGACTGTGAGAGCCGTTCAGCAGTGGAACTCTCTGCCCCGGAATGTGGTGGAGGCTCCTTCTTTGGAAGCTTTTAAACAGAGGCTGGATGGCCATCTGTCAGGGGTGATTTGAATGCAATATTCCTGCTTCTTGGCAGAATGAGGTTGGACTGGATGGCCCATGAGGTCTCTTCCAACTCTTTGATTCTATGATTCTTCCAGCTCTATTATTCTATAATTCTATGGTGCCCAGAACACCAGAAAACAAATTTGCCTTAGGTGTTTTGGACTTTGGTTTTCAGAATTTCCGATCACTGGATTAGCTGGAGTTGGACTCCCAAACACTTGGAGGGTTGCACGTTGTTCAGGCCTGCTCTAGATACGATTTTCTTATGGATGCAGTCTAGGAACACATTGGCCTTGTTTTTTGCTGCATCACACTTTTGGCTCATGTCCTTGTTGTTGTCTACTAAGACCTCTAGATCCCATTTGCATGATTGTAGGTGAACTATAAATTCCAGTAACTACAACTCCCAAATGTCAAGGTCTATTTCCTCCAAACTCCACCAGTGTTCACATTTCAGCATATGGAGTATTTATGCCAAGTTTAGTCCAGATCCATCATTGTTTGAGTCCACAGTGCTTTCTGGATGTAGGTGAACTACAACTCCCAAACTCAAGGTCAATGCCCACTAAACCCTTCTAATGTTTTCTGTTGGTCATGGGAGTCCTGGGTGCCATGTTTGGTTCAACTTCATCATTGGTGGAGTTTAGAATGCTCTTTGACTGTAGGTGAACTATAAATCCCAGCAAGCTCCCAAATGACAAAAGCATTTTTTGAGTGATGGTCACTCCTTGGGTTGTTAGGTGTATTCTGTCCAAATTTGGTGTCAATTCGTCCAGTGGTTTTTGAGTTCTGTTAATCCCACAAATGAACATTACATTTTTATTTATATACTAGCCGTCCCCTGCCACGCGTTGCTGTGGCCCACATGGGGGTTCTGTGTGGGAGGTTTGGCCCAATTCTATTGCTGGTGGGTTTCAGAATGCTCTGTGATTGTAGGTGAACTATAAATCCCAGCAACTACAACTCCCAAATGTCAAGATTCTATTTTCCCCAAACTCACCAGTGTTTACATTTGGGCATATTGAGTATCTTGTACAATTTGGTCTGGATCCATCATAGTTTGAATCCACAGTGGATGTAGGTGAACTACAACTCCAAAACCAAAGGACACTGCCCACCAAACCCTTCCAGTATTTTCTGTCGGTCATGGGAGAACTGTGTGCCAACTTTGGTTCAATTCCATCGTTGCTGGGGTTCAGAATGCTCTTTGATTGTAGGTGTACTATAAATCCCAGCAACTACAACTCCCAAATGACAAAATCAATTTTTTGAGTGAAGGACATACATTGGGTTGTTAGGTGTCTTGTGTCCAAATTTGGTGTCAATTCGTCCAGTGGTTTTTGAGTTCTGTTAATCCCACAAACAAACAAACATTACATTTTATTGATATAGATATACACTCCACTTGCCTCATTTCCCACAGACTTCTAAAGATGCCAGCCACAGATGCAAGCAAAACGTCAGGACAGAATGCTCTTGAGACATGGCCTTACAGCCCGTTAGTACTTCTCCCGTTAGTAACCTGGCTGCCGCACGTTGGACTAATTGAAGCTTCCGGGCAGTCTTCAGAGGCAACCCCACATAGAGAGCGTTGCAGTAATCTAAATGGAATGTAATGCGTGACCGCATTTCCATCTACGAACCCACACGCTCACTTCGGTCATCTGGAGAGGCTCTGCTTGTAATCCCACCTTCGTCGCAAGTGCGCTTGGTGGGGACGCGGGACAGGGTCTTTTCTCGTGGTGGCCCCCCGACTCTGGAACACCCTCCCCAAAGACCTTAGACAGGCCCCTACATTGGCTGTCTTCAGAAAGAACTTGAAGACCTGGCTTTTCCGATGCGCCTTCCCAGATTAGGAAATCTCCACTACCAAGTCCCATAAGCACCTTACCAGAACCAATGATTGCTGCACATTGCACATTGCACATTGCACTTGCCCTAGAAGCCTTATTTACACCTCCTGTCACATCAGCACTTTTAATCTTTGTACCCATTACTCTGGCCCGGCCCAGTTTTATTGTGTTTTAGTGTATTGTGCCGTTGTTTATTCTGCTTTACTTTGTTTTTAATTGTTTGATTTGCTTAGATTGTATTGTTATGTTTGTGTGTTGAGGCCTCGGCCTGTGTAAGCCGCATCGAATCCTTCAGGAGATGCTAGCGGGGTACAAATAAAGTTTAATAATAATAATAATAATAATAATAATAATAATAATAATGTAACCAAAGCGTGGACCACCGTGGCCAAGTCAGACTTCCCAAGGTACGGGCGCAGCTGGCGCACGAGTTTTAATTGTGCAAAAGCTCCCCTGACCACCTCCGAAACCTGGGGCTCCAAGCTCAGCGATGAAAGGGGGAACGTCTGGTGGTCCCAGGGGTGCCGAGTTAAGTTTGCCCGGCATTGTGCCGGTGGCACCCTGGCTTTTGCGGTATCAGACTGCAGTGGGCTGCCCGATCGCGATCCAGGACCCACGCTTGGCTGCCAACCCTTGTTCCTGTGATCAATAAATGAGTTGTGGCCATTGTTCATCCCAACATCATGTGTGAGCGTACTTCTTGGGTTGGCTGTGGGAGGTGTATCGCTCTTGCACACGCAACACAAACTGATGTGTTCAGGTGGCAAGGAGCGAAACCCCACCCAAACAGTAGGAAGCGGTGTGCATGTGAGGGGAATGTGGGATGGATATTTGGGAGGAAGAGGATTGGGAGGTTGGGAAAGAGAGCATCTCAGGCAACGCTTGTCTGTTGGACAGCTATAAAACCGGACTCCAGTTGACTTGGGATCACTGCTAAGCTGCCAGCTCCTCCATTCAGGACCCTTTGGCTGCCCTTTGAAGTTGGAGCGAGAGAGAGAGAGAGAGAGAGAGAGAGAGAGAGAGAGAGAGAGAGAGAGAGAAAGAAAGAAAGGGAAGGGAAGAGGGAGGGAGAAAGTGTGTCTGCAATTTCTGCACCTCCTCTTTCTTTCCTTGCCTCTTGCTTCTCTCTCTCTCTCTCAATCCTTGAGTGTGCAAACTGCTCTTGCCTCCACTCTCCCGGCACCTGGTCCTTTTTTTCCTTGGCTGGCGCATCTTTCTCTCCGGCAAACATCTGGATGCCACGGTGTCCCTTCGGATGAGGTATGCCCCCTTCTCCTTCCTTCCCTTCCTCCCTTCTTGTTTCCTCCACTTCCCCTCCTTTGATGGGGGTAAGGGGTTAAGAAAGGGTCGATGTCTCCTTCAGGTCCAAAGATTTGGGGGAAAAGCCCCAAACGCACCGCCTCCAGCTTCTTGGAGAGGAATGTGCTTTGCCTTTTGCTGCAGACAGAACAATCCTCTGGATCTAAGGGCTGAGACTGTTATATAATACCAAGGCGTTGGGATTCCTTTCTTTCCCCTTTCTCCTACATTTTGTTGCCTTTTCGGGTTATTCGGGTCACTTCCTCACCAAAGAAAGGTGCATTTTTGGAGCTCCCCCCCCCTCTCTTTATTCCTTTGGTCAGACTTGCTTTCCAAAGTGTCTCTAATCCTTCTCTGAGAGCGAATGAGGACTAATTCTTTTCCTGGCTTCGGACCAGCGGCGGCTTGACGCTCATAATGAAAACCAACTGTTTTCGGGGACGTTTCAAGCCACCTGTCTTGAGGATGCCGAGTCGAGGATGGACCGGTGGGGATGCTGAGCTTTGCCTTTCCCAAACCTCCACATCCATATGGATTCATTGGAAGTCCCATCCTCCTTTGACTCGGCATCCCTGTAAAGCACCCCCAAAACATCATTTATATCTATCTATGTATGTTTGTCAATCTGTTGCTAGGTGAAGTGGCCCTCTGTGATGTCACTGGAGGACTAATAATGTCTCCAAGGGACTGCTGCCTGTCTATTTTCTCCCTTCTCCAGCTCTGAAAAGGACTAATATTGTCACAATAGGACTACTGTCTGCCTACTTTTTCCCTCCTTCAGTTCCCTGAAGGCTTACTTTCTCCCTTCTCCAGCTCTGAGAAGGGCTAACAGGTGGAGTTGCCAGGTGGAGTGGCCCTTGGTGATATCACCCTGAAAGGAAGGTGACATGTGTATGAGGGGAAGGGAAAACACAAGAGCCACAAAGAGTGCCATACAGACATTGTGAAATAGGGCCTCTCAGAGCTGGAGAAGGGAGAAAGTAGGCCTTCAAAGAGCTGGAGAAGGGAAAAGTAAGCTTCCAAAGAGCTGGGGGAGAAAGTAGGCCTTCAAAGAAATGGAGAAGGGAGAAAGTAGGTAAGCTCCAGTCCCATGGAGAATTTGCTAGTCCTTCTCAGAGCTGCAGAAGGGAGAAAGTAGGCAGGCAGCAGTCCCATGGAAACATTTTCAGAGCTGGAGAAGGGAGAAAGTAGACAGGCAGAAGTCCCTTGGAGACATGAGAACTGGAGAAGGGAGAAAGTAGACCTTCAAAGAGCTGGAGAAGGGAGAAAGTAGGCCTTCAAAGAGCTGGAGAAGGCAGAAAGTAGGCAAGCAGTAGTCCCATGGAGACATTGTTAGTCCTTCTCAGAGCTGGAGAAAGGTGAAAGTAGGCAGGCAGCAGTTCCATGGATACATTGTTAATCCATCTCAGAACTGAAGAAGGGAGAAAGTAGGCCTTCAAGGAACTGGAGAAGGGAGAAAGTAGACAGACAGCAGTCCCATGGAGACAATATTAGTCCTTTTCAGAACTGGAGAAGGGAGAAAGTAGACAGGCAGTAGTCCCATGGAGACATTGTTAGTCCTCAGAGCTGGAGAAGGGGGAAAGTAGGCCTCCAAAGAGTTGGAGAAGGGAGAAAGTAGTTCTTCAAAGAGCTGGAGAAGGGAGAAAGTAGGCAAGCAGCAGTCCCATGGAGACTTCATTAGTCCTTCTCAGAGCTGCAGAAGGGAGAAAGCAGACAGGCAGCATTCCCATGAAGACATTCTTAGTCCATCTCAGAGCTGGAGAAAGTAGGCCTTAAAGGAACTGAAGGAGAAAGTAGACAGGCAGCAATCCCATGGAGACATTAGTCCTTCTCAGACCTGGAGAAGGGAGAAAGTGGACAGGCAGCAGTCCCTTGGAGACATTCTTAGTCCATCTCAGAGCTGGAGAAGGGAGAAAGTAGCCATGCAGCAGTTGGATGGAGACATTGCTGGCCCTTTTTAGAGCTGGAGAAGGGAGAAAGTAGACAGGCAGCAGTCCCTTGGAGACTTTGTTAGTCCTTCTCAGAGCTGGAGAAGGGAGAATGTAGGCAAGCAGAAGTCTCATGGAGACATTGTTAGTCCTTCTTAGAGCTGAAGAAGGAAGAAAGTAGGCAGGCAATTGTTGCAATGACACTGAGACAACAACAGGTGTATGTGTACGTGTGTGTGCCTGTGTGTGTTTACACACATACATTCTAAGAGTGAAATAAGGTAGAAAGAGTGGAAGCACTGATAGCTGGCACATCTCTCCCAAGTCTTCAAGGGAAAAATAGATTGAGGGCTTTCTTGGGTTCTGTTTTCATAATTTTCCTCCTGTGGGTTTGAATCTTGGGGTGTGTCTGCAGTTTGACCCCACTTGAACTGCCACAGTCCAATCCTATGGAAGTTGTAGTTTTCGGAATCATCAGTCCCCTTTGGTAGAGACAGCCAAAGATCTTGAAATACTACAACTCTCATGATCCCATGGCAGTTAAAGTGAGGACAAATGTAGGGATATTTGGCCTCTAACACCCAATATTTCTACAGGTTGTGGGCCCAGCACATTTTTGGTGAAAGAAAGCACTTTTGCACATTGAACATTCAGGTGTCAAAACCTCTTTCTTTCATGGAGAAATTGCGAAAGGTAATTTTCATGGAAGAGGAGGTTGTTCAGCATCAAACTGCATTAATTCTCCAGTGCAGAGAGGCATTCTCAGATTGAAATGGCATCTGTAGTTGTGCTCCTCGCAGATGTTCGCTCTGGTTTTGGTTTCTCCCCAGACCTTGTTCAGGACCGCAAAGTATTGCTGGCTTGGAATGGGACACCAGGCAACTCAGACGCAGTCTGAAACAGAGCGGATGGCGGGGAGGCGGGAGAGAAACGCCGCGCGGCATTAATACAATAATCCATTTCAGTTTGGAAAAGGCCGCCTCTCCCCTCCCGGTGGCAAGCGCCAGAGATGAGCAGGGTTTCAGGAAATGCTCACTCCAGGCAGCCAAGAGAAAGAGGGATGGCGTTCTTGCGTGTGTGTGGAGACTCGGGCAGCCCAACTCCGAGAGGCTGGCCTTGCTTGAGGAAGTAGACTCCTCTGTCATCTGCTGGGGGAAGAAAACTGGAATCAAAGAGATGGGGATGGTGCGCCTGAAATGTCATGTCCTGGGGTATGGGGCCTGCTTGTCGATGCCGGATGAATAGCAAAGTCCTACCGTTGGAAGGGCTATCCAGATGGATGGATGGACAGACAGACAGACAGACAGACAGATAGACAGATAGATGATTGAATTATGGGATCCTAGTTGGAGGAGCCCCAAAGGCCTTCCATGCCACCCTCTTAGATGAAATAGATAGATAGATAGATAGATAGATAGATAGATAGATAGATAGATGATCAAATAGTGGAATCCTAGAGTTGGGAGGGACCCCAAGTAACATCAGCTCTGTAAGACAGACAGATGATGGAATCATGGGGTCCTAGAGTTGGAGGAGACCCCAAAGYCCATTTAGTCCATCCTCTATGATAGATAGATAGATAGATAGATAGATAGATAGATAGATAGATAGATAGACAGATAGACGACCAAATAGTGGAATCCTAATAGTGGAATCCCAAAGTGGAATCTAAATAGTGGAATCCCAAAGGACATCAACTCTCTTAGATAGATAGATAGATAGATAGATAGATAGATAGATAGATAGATGATCGAATCATGGGATCCTAAAGTTGGAAGAACCCAAGAGGCACCAAGTCCAACCCTCTATGATAGATAGATAGATAGATAGATAGATAGATAGATAGATAGATAGATAGATGATTGAATCATGGGATCCTAAAGTTGGAAGAACCCAAGTCCAACCCTCTATGATAGATAGATAGATAGATAGATAGATAGATAGATGGTTGAATCATGGGATCCTAAAGTTGGAAGTATCCAAGAGGCACCAAGTCCAACCCTCTATGATAGATAGATGGATGGATGGGTGGATGGATGGATGGATAGATAGATGATTGAATCATGGGATCCTAAAGTTGGAAAAACCCAAGAGGTACCAAGTCCAAATCTCTGTGATAGATAGATGGATGGATGAATGATTGAATCATGGGATCCTAAAGTTGGAAGAACCCAAGAGGCACCAAGTCCAACTCTCTAAGACAGAGAGATAGATAATTGAATCATCGGATCCACCCTCTATGCTAGATAGATAGATAGATAGATAGATAGATAGATAGATAGATGATCAAATAGTGGAATCCTAGAACTGGAAAGGACCCCAAGGGACATCAACCCTTATAGAAAGATATATAGATAGAGAGCTAGAGAGCTAGAGAGATAGATAGATAGATAGATAGATAGATAGATAGATAGATAGATAGATAGATAATCGAAGCATGGGATCATAAAGGTGGAAATAACCCAAGAGGCGCCCAGTCCAACCCTCTAAGATAGAGAGATAGATAGATAATTGAATCATGGGATCCTAGAGTTGGAGGAGACCCCAAACGCTATCCATTCCACCCTTTATGAAAGAAAGAAAGAAAGAAAGAAAGAAAGAAAGAAAGAAAGAAAGAAAGAAAGAAAGATGATCTAATAATGGAATCCTAAAGCTGGAGGAGTCATCAAGGGTTATCCAGTCAAGTCCAGTTCTCTAAGACAGACAGACAGGCAGACAGACAGACAGACAGATAGATGATGGAATCCACCATGGGAACCCACATCGGCCAAGAGAGATATCCTCTCTATTGTAGTTTTGGAACTTCTCACTTTTCTTCTTTTGATAGGATGAAGACCACCAAATGGATCTGGGAAAGTATCTTCATGAGCCACTGCGCTTGGCTGAAGGGAGCCTTTGCCATAGCTGTGATTGTGGGGAACGTTGCCTTGGCAATAGCACAGGTAATATATTTTTATTTGAGAGGGTGACTTCCTTCTATGAGGGCATCCTATATCTCCCCACCTCCAAAAGTTATACCTTTACATTTCCTTAAGTCATTATCTAAAATCAACAAGTTTTAGTAAGTTGACCAATTTCCTTCTAAAGAGATTTCTCTTCCAAAGAAAGCTTCATGCAGATTTATTCCACACCTGCAGTAGTGTCCAACCTCGGATCTGATTTTATTCTATCACACCAAAGGCAGGCATGTATTCCAAACTTTGAGCCATCACCTTATAGTTGCAATAATGTTTTCTTTCTGCATTATGTTTATCCTGACTTGTCTTCATTGGCAGTAATGGAATAAAGCAGAGTTTCTCAATCTAGGGGTCAAGATCCCTGAAGGGGTTGTGAGGGGGTTTCAGAGGGGTCACCAAAGGCCACAGAAAACATATATTTATGATGGTCTTAGGAACACCTTTGGCAGAGAAGACTGACGATCTCTCCACCTATCCTCCTCTTCTGTTTTGGAAGCAGAGGGTGAATCCTCCCAACAAAAGCCCTCCTCCTGCTGTAACTGGCCGGCTTCTCAGCCAAGGGGAGGGCTGTTTCGGAGACGCCAAGTGGGGAGGGGAGAGCAGACATGGTCGGCGCATGGCAGCATGATGTGCATGCACAGGTGAGGGAGAGCGTGTAAGGCTGGAGGGAGGCTCACGCCAGCGAGTCCCTTCAAGGCATGGGGTTCTGTGTGGGAAGTTTGGCCCAATTCTATCGTAGGTGGGGTTCAGAATTGGAGGTGAACTATAAATCCCAGAAACTACAACTCCCAAATGTCAAGGTCTATTTCCCCCAAACTCCATTAGTGTTCACATTTGAGCATATTGAGTATTCGTGCCGAGTTTGGTCCAGATCCATCATTGTGTGAGTATACAGTGCTCTCCAGATGAGGGTGAACTACAACTACAAAATTCAAGGTCATTGCCCACCAAACCCTTCCAGTATTTTCTCTTGATCATGGGGGTTCTGTGTGCCAAGTTTGGTTCAATTCCATCATTGGTGGATTTCAGAATGCTCTTTAGTTGTAGGTCAACTATACATCCCAATAACTACAACAAATGACAACATAACCCCCCACCCCCCAACCCTCACCAGTATTCAGATTTGGGCATATTGGGTATTTGTGCCAAATGTGGTCCAATGAATGAAAATACATCCTGCTTATCAGATATTTACATTACAATTCATGTTGTTGTTCATTCGTTCAGTCGTCTCCGACTCTTCGTGACCTCATGGACCAGCCCACGCCAGAGCTCCCTGTCGGCCGTCACCACCCCCAGCTCCTTCAAGGTCAGTCCAGTCGCTTCAAGGATGCCATCCATCCATCTTGCCCTTGGTCGGCCCCTCTTCCTTTTGCCTTCCACTTTCCCCAGCATAATTGTCTTCTCTAGGCTTTGCTGTCTCCTCATGATGTGGCCAAAGGACTTCAACTTTGCCTCTAGTATCCTTCCCTCCAATGAGCAGTCGGGCTTTATTTCCTGGAGGATGGACTGGTTGGATCTTCTCGCAGTCCAAGGCACTCTCAGAACTTTCCTCCAACACCACAGCTCAAAAGCATCGATCTTCCTTTGCTCAGCCTTCCCTAAGGTCCAGCTCTCACATCCGTAGGTTACTACAGGGAATACCATGGCTTTGACTAGGCGGATCTTTGTTGCCAGTCTGATGTCTCTACTCTTTACTATTTTATTGAGACTGGACATTGCTCTCCTCCCAAGAAGGAAGCGTCTTCTGATTTCCTGGCCACAGTCTGCATCTGCAGTCATCTTTGCACCTAGAAATACAAAGTCTGTCACGGCCTCCACGGTTTCTCCCTCTATTTTCCAGTTGTCAATCATTCTTGTTGCCATAATCTTGGTTTTTTTGACGTTTAGCTGCAACCCGGCTTTTGCGCTTTCTTCTTTCACCTTGATTAGAAGGCTCCTCAGCTCCTCCTCGCTTTCGGCCATCAGAGTGGTGTCATCTGCATATCTGAGGTTGTTAATGTTTCTTCCAGCATTTTCACCCCAGCTTTGCATTCATCAAGCCCCGCACATCCTCGCATGATGTGTTCTGCATACAAGTTAAAAAGGTTGGGTGAGAGGATGCAGCCTTGCCGTACGCCTTTCCCAATCTTGAACCAGTCTGTTGTTCCATGGTCAGTTCTGACTGTTGCTACTTGGTCCTTGTACAGATTCCTCAGGAGAGAGACAAGGTGGCTTGGGATGCCCATCCCACCAAGAACTGACAATTCATAACAGTAGAAAAATTGTAGTTGTGAAGTAGCAACGAAAATAATTTTACGATTGGGGGTCACCACAACATGAGGGACTATATTAAGGGGTCACGACATTAGGAAGGTTGAGAAACACTGGAATAGAGCCCGAAAAGGCGAGAATTGGGAAACGGTGGTGGCTTCCATGTCAGAGGGAAAAGAGCTCCACTTCTGGTTTTATTTCAGACTTTTGAGCGCTCTCCAAGGTGCTGAACCCGATTCCTCCCTATCTTTGGGAAATGAATCGCATTTGGACTTTGCTTCTTACTCGAACCAAAGGCTTCTGTTCAAATGAATAGGGATGTCCAAACGTGAAACCATGGTCTTTTGCTCTCAGGCAGAGACCCACAAAGGTGCTAGGGTTGAAAAACACCATTGTGAGCCAGAATTGGAACCAAATCTCTCCAATTTCTCAGCCCGAAACAGCATCCAAACTGGCTCACACCCTTTAAGGCGAAAAATCTCTGGCTACCGGCAGCGGAGAAGGACGGTTCAGCTTGAAACAATAAAAAGAGGTGTTACGCTCGTGAATCCCAAACGGGATGAATCATGGGCTTGTAAAACTGGGAGGAATGTTGACACATTCTGGGTCAGCTTTGCTTTTTGTCCTCTTTGGAGTGAAACAAAATAGTTACAGTGGTGTCCAAGTGTATCCATCCTACAGTTAGGCAGGGAATGCTTAGATTTGGTCTGGTTCTCAAAGTGTGCTCCTTGGAGCCCTTAAGGCTCCGTGAAGCACAGTGAGGGGCTTTGTGCATTCCTCCTCCTTCCCCACGCCTTCTATTGACCGTATTATTATTACTACTCACTTATCTGACCTTTGCATATCCAACAGTCTTATCCGATGCCCCCTTTTCCTCCAGCATTTCCCTTTCAATTAAAGGAGCACTCCCCAACTCTCTCTCCGTTCCCAATAAGTGAAAAAGGAGGAGAAGGAGGGAGGAAAGAGAGAAAAGAGGCAGGACCAGAAGAAGAAGCTTTCCCATCCTTCCTTCTGTGATTTCCACACTCCTCTTCTGCATCCGGGCATTTTCTGTTGGGCCTCTCTGGCCCTGAGGTGTTGCCTTGCCTTAACTCTTTGAGCCCCTGTTGTTAGTATTCTAGGTCTCTAGAACCACGTTAGGAGACCCCAAATGGTGCAGTGGGTTAAACCGCTGAATTGCTGAGCTTGTTGACCGAAAGGTCACAGGTTCAAATCTGGGGAGCGGCATGAGCTTCTGCTGTCAGCCCCAGCTTCTGCAAATCTAGCAGTTTGAAAACATGCAAATGTGAGTAGTTCAATAGCTACTGCTCCAGCATGAAGGTTACGTCGCTCCATGTAGTCATGCCAGCCACATGGCCTTGGAGGTGTCTATGGTGCTAATAACAGGAGCGGCGTGAGATCCCGCTGTTAGCTCCAGCTTCTGCAAATCTAGCAGTTCGAAAATGCAAATGTGAGTGGATCACTGCTGGGAAGGTAAGGGTTACCAGTCATGCCGGCCACATGACCTTAGAGGTGTCTATGGACAACGCCGGCTCTTCGGCTTAGAAATGGAGATGAGCACCACACCCCAGAGTCAAACATGACTGGACTTAATGTCAAGGGACAACCTTTACCTTTTATTATTATTATTATTATTATTATTATTATTATTATTATTATTATCACAAAAAGATTAGTACACAGCAAACAAGATGATGATGATGATGATGATGATGATTAGGCTGCTAATAATAATAATAATAATAATAATAATAATAATAATAATACTTTATTTATATTCGGCCCTTCTCTCCGAGGGGACTCATAGCAAATTACAGCACATAAACAGACACAGGCAAACATTCAATGCCTTGTTGCAATGAAATGCAATGAGACACAAATGCACAAAGGCAAAGGCTTCTCACAGAACACACTTTGAGTAACATTGGTGTAGATCAGTGGTTCTCAACCTTCTTAATGTCACGACCCTTTAATGCAGTTCCACATGTTGTGGTGACTCCCAAGCATAAAATTATTGTTATTGCTACTTCATATCTGCAACTTTGCTACTGTTATTATGTAAATATCTGATATGCAGGATGTGTTTTCATTCACTGGACCAAATCTGAATACTGGTGGGGTGGGGGGGATTGATTTTGTCATTTGGGAGTTGTAGTTGCTGGGATTTATAGTTCACCTACAATCAAAGAGCCATTCTGAACCCCACCAATGAGAGAATTGGGCCAAACTTCCCAAACAGAACTCCCATGAGCAAGAGAGAATACTGGGTTTGGTGGGCAATGACCTTGAGTTTTGAAGTTGTAGTTCACCTACATCCAAAGTGCACTGTGGATTCAAACATGGATGGATCTGGACCAAACTTGGCATGAATACTCAATATGCCCAAATATGAACACTGGTGGAGTTTGGGGAAAATATACTTTGACATTTGGGAGTTGTAGTTGCTGGGATTTATAGTTCACCTACAATCAAAGAGCATTCTGAACCCCACCAATGATAGAATTGGGCAAAACTTCCCACACTGAACCCTCATGACCAACAGAAAATACTGATGGTCTTTGGTGACCCCTCTGAAACCCCCTCACGACCCCCCCCCAGGGGTCCCGACCCCCAGGTTGAGAACCACTGGTGTAGATTCATCTTATGTTATTCCCCTATTTCCGAACAGGATCACGCACCGGCCTCAAACAGCCTTGAAGAAGGTGGGACCGACATTACGGCATATTGGTGGGGCGAGTGGACGAAATGGACGGCCTGCACCCGGACGTGTGGTGGGGGAGTCAAGTCCCAAGAACGGCACTGCCTCCGACAAAGGTAATGGGCGTCTCCCTTTGCAACAGCTTCCGTTACACCATAGGATTGAGCGTTGGCAGTTAAAGTGCCGTCAAGCTGCATTAATTCTGCAGAGTCCATGTGTAGATGCACCCTAAGTTGGAGGGAAGAGGGTCTAATTGGAACCAGACCCCTTATACAACCTAAGAAATCCCAATAATAATAATAATAATAATATACTTTATTTATATTCCACTTTATCTCCCCGGAGGGACTCAGAGCGGATTACAATATACACATAAGAGGCAAACATTCAATGCTTTTTGCACACAGTGAACAACGACATACAATACACAGGCAAAGGTAAAGGCTTCCCCTTTCATCTACGGTGTCTGAAGGCGATGCTCATCTCCAGCCATAGAGAGGCACTCTTGACCCATTTTTCCATGCCGAGGAGCCTGTTGTCCATAGACATCTTCGATTATGTGGTTGGTGTGTCTGCATATATATCTGCATACTGTGCGGTACCTATCGATCTACTCACATTGCATGAATTCGAACTGCTAGGTTGGCAGGAGCTGGGCTGACAGCCGGGAGCTCACCCCAATTCACGGGTTTGAACTGCCAACCTTCCGGTCAGCAGATTTCCTTCAACTAACCCACTGCGCTACCATGGCCTTTCCCTTTGAGATACAAAATGCAAGACCTATAACTCAACCTATAACTCAACCATGCAGTCATGCTGTCCACATGACCTTGGAGATGTCTACGGACAACGCTGGCTCATCAGCTTAGAAATGGAGATGAGCACCAAATATGCTAACTAAATAACTAAATTAATAACTAAAATATGGTCTGTGGCCATGAGAGCGACTGGTCTCGCAAAACCCTCTTATAGTGCCGAGGCTTATTAAATACCGAAAGGTCGTAGGTTCGAATCCGGGGAGTGGGGTGAGCTCCCGCTGTTAGCTCCAGCATCTGCCAACCTAGCAGTTCGAAAACATGCAAATGTGAGTAGATCAATAGGTACCGCTCTGCTGGGAAGGTAAGGGCGCTCCAAGTAGTCATGCTGGCCACATGATCTTGGAGGTGTCTAAGGACAATGCCGGCTCTTCGGCTTAGAGTTGGACACAAATGGACTTAATATCAGGGGAAAACCTTTACCTTTACCCTTTAGTATCCAATCTAGAAGCATTATGATATAGGTCTCCCCTAGTCTCAGCTGTCCAGACACAAATCGATCCCAGGATGCATCTACATTGTCAAATTAATGCAGTTTGATACCACTTGACTTGCCACGGAATCTTGGGACTTGTAGTTTGGTTAGGCACTGGTACTTTTGGGCAGAGGAAGACATATACATACTTTATTTATATTCTGCTTTATCTTCCCAAACGGACTCGGAGTGGATTAAAGTACACATATTCAGGACCTTGTAAAACTACAACTCCCACGACTCCACAGCATGAAATGATGTCAAACGGCATCCATTCTGCAATGTGGATGCACCAAAAGACATGAATGCATGCCTGCAGGGAATAAAATGTGGTTGCGTTGTGCTTTGAAAAGTTCGTTTAAAACAAATCTTTTAAATGGAATTATTAGCAGGTTGTCAAATACTGTTATGGGATTGTGTTACAAATCCCAGGACTCCATAACGTGGAGCCGTGGCAGTTAAGTTGGCGTCAAAGCTCTATATAGATATCATAACATGCTACTTTGAGGTATTGCTCTCGCTGAAGACTCACCTGGGAGTCTATATGAACCATTTCCTCTCTTGCTGCCTCTAGAAGGAAGTCGGCAACGGGGTTTCTCAACAAGACATGCACCGGGACTTCCAAGAGGTACCAGCTGTGCAAAGTGCAAGTAAGAAGGAATTTTGTGTGATTTTTGATGGGAGGATAAAATAGGGGTTGAACTGCATGTGTCAGTGGGGATGCACCTGGGCTTGTAGAGAGACCCACAAGGCAAGTGTCTGAGCATTTCCTTGGTGCAGTGCGATCCCCTATTACTGCAAAGGTTGGATAGCCATCTGTTCAGGGTGTTTTGATTGGGTTTTTCATGCATGGCTAAATAAAGGGGGTTGCACTAGATGGCCCCTGTGGTTGCTTCTATTATTATTATTATTATTATTATTATTATTATTATTATTTTATTGTTGTTGTTGTTGTTGCAAAGACTGGATGGTCATCTGTTGGGGGGTGTTTTGGTTGTGCTTTTCGTGCATGGCAGAAAGGGGCTGGGCTGAATGGACCCTGGGGTTGTTATTATTATTATTATTATTATTATTATTATTATTATTCGAAACAGAACAAGCAAGATCACTCTGTTGTTGTATTGGATCACACGTTGGACACTTCCCAAGTATCTAGGACTGTGTGATGTATCGGCGAATAATGTGTGCAGATCCCAGTAAGGTGGCGGCTGGCAGATGGTAATTTTGTCAGTGCCGATTGTGTTTAAGTGCATGCCAAGGTCTTGAGGCACTGCACCCAGTGTGCCGATCACCACTAGGACCACCTTGACTGGCTTGTGCCAGAGTCTCAGTTCGATTTTTAAATCGTCATATCGTGTCAGCTTTTCCAGTTGGTTCTCTGCAATCCTGCTGTCACCTGGGATTGCAACATCTATGATCCATAGTTTGTTTTTTAACACAATTGTGAGGTCAGTAGTATTATGCTCCAAAACTCTGTCTGTCTGAATCCGGAAGTCCCAGAGGAGTTTGGTGTGTTCATTCTCTGTAACTCTTTCCGGCTTGTGATCCCACCAGTTCTTTGTTGCAGGCAGATGGTATTTGTGGCACAAGTTCCAATGAATCATCTGAGCAATGGTGTTATGCCTCTGCTTGTAGTCTGTCTGTGCGATCTTCTAGCAGCAGCTGAGGATGTGATCTGTTGTTTCATCTGCTTCCTTACAGAGTCTACATTTGGGATCTGTTGTCGACTTTGTGCTTTTTATGCATGGCAGAATAAAGGGGGTTGGACTGGATGGCCCCTGCGGTTGCTTCTATTATTATTATTATTATTATTATTATTATTATTATTATTATTGTTATTATTGCAAAGGCTGGATGGCCATCTGTTGGGGGTGTTTCCCAATAAGGTGGCCTTCTGCAGCTGGCAGATGGTAATTTTGTCTGCACCGATTGTGTTTAAGTGCAGGCCAAGGTCTTTAGACACCGCTCCCAGGGTGCCAATCACCACTGGGACCACCTTGACTGGCTTATTATTATTATTATTATTATTATTATTATTATTACTACTACTACTACTATAACTATTATTATTTTTATTACAAAGGGTGGATATCCATCTGTTGGGGGTATTTTGATTGTGTTGGACTGGAGGGCCCCTGGGGTTGCTTCTATTATTATTATTATTATTATGATTAGGTTCTTGTGTGTTTTTTCTGTGCCTGGTTTTTTCCTCTCTGTTGTTTAGCTGTTATAATTTTAACCAGGCACAGATTAACACCTCCCAGCAGCAGATTTTCCCAGACTCAGGCAGGCCTTCAAATGCTAATGAAGGTGATCAGCTAAACATTCACACCTAACTGCAGCAGGGAAGAGCTCCTTGCCCCACCCCAGCCATTCCACAGATATATAAACCCATTTTTCCTACTTCCAACAGACCTTCTCAACCTCTGAGAATGCTTGCCATAGATGCAGGCGAAACGTCCAGGAGAGAATGCCTCTAGAACATGGCCATATAGCCCGAAAAACACTGGGAACCTAATGGAGATGGAGCGGTATATAAATAAAGTATTATTATTATTATTATTATTATTATTATTAATAATAATAATAATAATAATAATTATTATTATTATTATTATTTCAGAGGCAAGATTTTAATTTGATTTATGTCTAACTGTAGTGTATAATTGTAATTGTTTGTACTGGCATTTAATTTTTGCCATTACTTATGTGTAAATTGCTTTGAGTCCCCCTTGGGGTGAGAAAAGCGGTATACAAATACTGTAAATAATAATAATAATAATAATAATAATAATAATAATAATAATAATAATAATAAATAAGATAGCCATCTGTTGGGAGTGCTTTGATTGTGCTTGTCCTGCATTCCCTTGGTGGCTGGAATTCAAACATACCTTTAAGAAAAGCTGGAATGTTAAATAGCCTCTGTGTGTCTGTCTATATATGTTGTGTGTCTATGGCATTGAATGTTTGCCATGTATATGTGCATTGTGATCTGCCCTGAGTCCCCTGCAGGATGAAAAGGGCGGGATATAAATATTGTAAATTTTATACACGCACACACACACACTTCTTGGGTCCCTACGATAAACTCCGTGCTGGAAAAAGTTTGAGAACCCTTGCTCCAAACTATGGATAATAGCAAACTCTAAATATACTTTCAGTCCATCTACCTAGGTGGGTCCATATGAACCTTTTTGGAAGGGGGATGCATTTTGGAGCCATGTTCACCTTGGATATTGAGTCCACGGAAAAGAGGATTGTATTGTATGTTCATTCTCATGTCTTGGGTGAGTGAGGTCCATGTTGAGGAGAGAAATGGGACGCTGGACGCTGGGTTGATGTGGTTCCCCCTTCTCTTTGTGATCTTTTCCAGCAGTGCCCCCCGAATGGTCGGAGCTTCCGCGAGGAGCAGTGCTCATCCTTCAACTCACACGTGTACAATGGGCAGACCTATCAATGGAAACCTTTATATCCCGGTAAACAACGAGACCTTTCTTTGTGCGGTGGGTTTTGACAACCTAAAGACATGGAGTGGAGGGATGGGCGGAGGGGAAATGAATGAGGCTCTCTTCTCCTCTCGGAAGGGATGCGTTTTCTTCTTCCTCTTCTTCAGAGGTTTGATCAGATTAGCAAAGATGCCACCCACCACTTCCTCTCACTGGGAGGAGGGCTTTGACAGCTGCTTCGGTATAAGAAAACCATTGTTATGGGCCAGCAGGATGCTGGAGAGCCACCTTTCAACTGAGGAGACAAAGCTAACAAATTCAGGAAGGGAGATATGTCCTTCACTCTCCGGTGTCTGAAATACTCCAGTCTTGAGACAAGTCTATAAATCCATGGCTGAATGCACTCGGACGAACCAGTTCTGGTTCTGCGGCAGTGTCTACACGGTCCAGATGACTCCAATTTTTGATATATTCCAGCCTCTGAAATTCTGTTTCACAAAGCTACAGACTTAAGGAGAGTCTATACCAGGCATGGCAAACTTGGGCCCTCCAGGTGCTTTGGACTCCAACTCCGCCTGTCTTCCCAAGAGATTTGCAGGATTTTCTGGAGACAGCACTGATGGAATCATTCCAGGAGTTGCATGTGACGTCTGTAGACAGTCCACATTTCGTAGGCATATAGCAGGGTTGGGAGGACAATAGCTTTATAAACAAGCACCTTGGTATCCCTACGGATGTCCCGGTCCTCAAACGCTCTCTGCTTCATTTCGATAAATGCTGCACTCGCAGAGCTCAGGCAGTGTTGTATTTCAGTGTCGATGTTGACTTTGGTGGAGAGGTGGCTGCCAAGGGAGCGGAAATGATCAACATTCCTCTTCCACAGAGAAGTGTATCAGCTTTTCCCTTGAGCACGAGTATTCCAAGATTATAGTCACACTCAAGGGAAGAGCTGATACGCTTCTCTGTGGAATGTTGATCTCCCCATGAGGTCACATGTCTCTTTCTCATGACATAATTCCAGCACTTTGCTCCCTCTTGAACTGACGCGGCTTTGTCTGATGGACTCATGGGATTGGTAGTTTCATGGGGTATTCTCTACTAGAGTTGTCTAGCGGACCACTAAAGAGCTAAACATATGGATATATAGGATGGAGCTATGCCTTTTGGGATCAAATTGAAATTTATATAAATAAAAATGTACTGTTCGTTTGTGGGATTAACAGAACTCAAAAACCACTGGGGGAATAGACACCAAATTTGGACACAATACACCTAACAACCCAATGTATGTCCTTCACTCATTAAAAACACTAAAAAACACAGCAGAAAGGACTTAAAAAGCCCCAAAAAGCTAAATGGTGAAAAGCTTAATGACAATACAGAAAGAAAAGGAAGAAAGAGTGAGGGAAGGGAAGAAAAGAAAGGAAGAAAAGAAAGAGGGAGGGAAAGAAAGAAGGAAAGGGAGAAGGAAGCATGGAAGCAAAGAGAGAAGGAAGGAAGGAAAGAGAGAGAAGGAAGGAAAAGAGGGGGGGAAAGAAAAAGGGGGAAGGAAGGAAAGTTAGAGAAGGAAGGAAGGAGAGAAGGAAAGAAAAAAGGGAAAGAAGGAAGGAAAGGGGAGCGAAGGAAGGGGGGAATGTAGAGAAAGAGGGAGGGAAGGAAAGAAGGAAAGAGAGAAGGAAGAAAAGAGACAGCAGAAGAGAAAGAAAAGGGGGGAAGGAAGGAAAAAGAGAAGGAAAGGGGAAGGAAGGAAGGAAAGAGGGAGGGAAGGAAGGAGGGAACAAAGGAGAGAAAGAGGGAAGGTTGGCCACAGCAAAGCATGGCGGGTACAGCTAGTAGATCAATAAAAGGATTCTCTTATCAGCAAACTTTTATTTTTTGTCTCAACCCCGAATATCTAGTTCCCAAAACCCTTCGACAGCTAGTGTCTTCTATTCTCAGCTATGGCTTGGGACCAGAGGTGATTGGGTGTTGTGAATGAGACCATCATGTGTACGATGACAGATGATTCCGAAGATCGTTGGCGTGTACCACATTGCGTCCTCACTTCCTTCTCTTTCTGCAGATGATTATGTCCACATCTCCAGCAAGCCCTGCGACCTCCACTGCACCACTGTCGATGGCCAACGGCAGCTGATGGTCCTGGCCCGGGATGGGACCTCCTGTAAATATGTGGATTTCCGAGGGGTTTGCGTGTCTGGAAAATGTGAGGTTGTTAAACATTATAGCAACCATATTGTCAGTAGAATTCTTGACTTTCCACGGGCCGCAGCTCCTCAACCCTATGTTTGCCCTGTTTCTAGCCCATTGGATGCGACGGGATACTGTTCTCGACCCACACTTTGGACAAGTGTGGCGTGTGCCAGGGAAACGGGAGCAGCTGTACCCATGTCACTGGGAGTTACAGGAAGGGCAATGCACACCTCGGTAAGGATGGGAATTAATGCAATGTTATTGGCTATTTATTGTGTCAGAAGCGAATTGAGAATATAGTTATCTATATATATAAAAATGCTCTGTGCGTAATGAGTACCTTAAAAACAAAAAAACTACTGGGCCAAATGGCCCCAAATTTGGCAACAAAACTCCTCACAATCCAAGGAATGACCATCACTGAAAAAACCCCACAAAAATACGTTTAAATTCAAAATATTACTATATTAAATAGACTCATAGAATAGAGTTAGAAGGGACTCTACCATAGTATTGCGGGAGAACAGACAGGAAGGAAGGAGAGAAGAAAGGAGGGAGGGAAAAAGGGAAGGAAAGAGGGAGGGAAAGGGGGAAGGAAGGAAGGAAGGAAGGGAGCAAAGGAAGGAAAGAAAGAGGTACCGAAGGAAGGAAGGAGAGAAAGTAGAAAGGAAAGAAAAAGGGGAGGAAAGGCAGGAAAGAGGTAAAGAAGGAAGGAAAGAGAAAAGGAAATAAAAAATGAAAGAAGTAAGGAAACAGGGAGGGAAGAAAGGAGACAAAGGAAGAAGTAGAGAAAGGGAGAGGGAAGGAAGGAAAGAAAGAGAGAAGGAAGGATGAAACCAAAGAGCAAAAGAAGGAATGAAAAAAAGAGGTAGAGAAGGAAGAAAGGAGAGAAAGGGGAAGACAAAGGGGGAAGGAATAGGTAGGTACCACTCTTTCATAATAGTCCAGGTATCTATCTTTACTTCGAAAATTCTTACTATAGGCCACAGCAACGCGTGGCAGGGCACAGCTAGTAATGTATAAAAATCACAAACAATGTTAAAAACTTGGCATGATACTAAATTTCCTTTGACCAGAAGATGGTCACTTGGAGTGCATCTAGTGTCGCTGTGAGAAGGTCCTCCATTGTGCAAGTGGCAGGGCTCAGGTTGCATAGTAGTAGGTGGTCTGCGGTTTGCTCTTCTCCGCATTCGCATGTCGTGGACTCCACTTTGTAGTCCCATTTCTAAGGTTAGCTCTGCATCTTGTGGTGCCAGAGTACAGTCTGCTCAGCGCCTTCCAAGTCGCCCAGTCTTCTGTGTACTCGGGGGGGGGGGGGGGGGGAGTTTCTCATCTGTTCAACCATTTCGAAACTCCCTGGTTGAGTGGTGATGGCATGATTGTCAGCATAGATATTTCGTATTTGACTTTGTGAGCAGGCTTTCTCAAATGCAGTGTAGCAGATAACTTCTTGACCTCGGAACGACTGGACAATTGTGATCGGATAGCGAGTTTGGTATTGAGATGTGGAGGATTTATGCTTTTATTGATTTTACTTTTTATGGAATTTTATGTATGTTATATGTTTTTATCTGCCTTCGGTGGTGCAGTGGGTTAAACCCCTGTGCCGGCAGGACTGAAGACGGACAGGTTGCAGGTTCAAATCTGGGGAGAGGCGGATGAGCTCCCTCTATCAACTCCAACTCCTCATGGGGGACATGAGAGAAGCCTCCCACAAGGATGATAAAAAAAATCAAATCATCCGGCGTCCCCTGGGAAACGTCCTTGCAGACGGCCAATTCTCTCACACCAGAAGCGACTTGCAGTTTCTCAAGTCGCTCCTGACACAACAACAACAACAACAACAACAACAACAACAACAACAAAAAGCTGTTTTTATATTATTGTGGCATCGAATTGTGCCATTTTGTAAACCACTCTGAGTCGCCCTCGAGCTGAGAAGGGCGGTATAGAAATATAATAAATAAATAAATAAATAAACATGCAGCAACTTGTAGTATGTTATTGGTGTCCAAGATGGATATAGACATGGCCGGAGTCACTGATTCTTCTGCAACGGTCTATCCTTGTTTACTCTTGGGACTGTTTAGTTTGCTGCTGTAGGCAACCAGAGTAGGGTCGATGAAGAAATATCCCATTTTTCCTTAGCCTTTAGAATCTATCGCCTTTGTGACGAGTTGCAAAGTTTGCCTTTCATTCACGAATATAGTTTTCTGCAGGCTACTCGCTGGTGACTCACATTCCGGCCGGAGCAAGAGATATCCAGATTGTGGAACGGAAGAAGTCTGCGGATGTTCTCGGTGTGTATGATACCCACTATTGCAACCAAACAGAATATTGTCATGGGTGTTGTAGGTTTTTTTGGGCTATATGGCCATGTTCTAGAGGCATTCTCTCCTGACATTTTGCCTGCGTCTATGGCAAGCATCTTCAGAGGTTGTGAGGTCTGTTGGAACTAGGAAAATGGGTTTATATATCTGTGGAATGACCAGGGTGGGACAAAAGGACTCTTGTCTGTTGGAGCGTGGTGTGAATGTTTCAACTGACCAGCTTGATTAGCATTTGATGGCCTGGCAGTTGTTTGGTGTGGCTTGTTGGTGCCTGGGGCAATCTTTTGTTGAGAGGTGATTAGATGTCCCTGATTGTTTCCTCTCTGTTGTTTAGCTGTTGTAATTTTAGAGGTTTTTTTTAAAATACAGATTTTTTTGGGGGCCCCGGTGGCGCAGTGGGTTAAAGCACTGAGCTGCTGAGCTTGTTGACCAAAAGGTCGCAGGTTCGATTCCAGGGAGTGGCGTGAGCTTCCGCTGTCAGCCCTAGCTTCTGCCAACCTAGCAGTTCGAAAACATGCAAATGTGAGTAGATCAATAGGTACCGCTCCGGCGGGAAGGTAACGGCGCTCCATGCAGTCATGCTGGCCACATGACCTTGGAGGTGTCTATGGACAATGCTGGCTCTTCGGCTTAGAAATGGAGATGAGCACCACACCCCAGAGTTAGACATGACTGGACTTAATGTCAGGGGACAACCTTTACCTTTACCTACCCAGATTTTGTTCATTTTCATGGTTTCCTCCTTTCAGCAAAACAGCAGAGGGAAAACAGTCAGGGGCATCTAATCACCTCTCAACAAAAGATTGCTCCAGGCACTTCCAGGGTATCAAATGCTAATCAAGGTTGTCAGTTGAAACATTCACACCTAGCTCCAGCAGACAAGAGTCCTTTGTCCCACCCTGGACATTCCACAGATATATATAAACCCATTTTCCTAGTTCCAACAGACCTCACTACCTCTGAGGATGCTTGCCATAGATGCAGGCGAAACGTCAGGAGAGAATGCCTCTAGAACATGGCCATATAGCCCCAAAAAACCCCTACAACAACCCAGTGATTCCGGCCATGAAAGCTTTCGACAATACATAGAATATTGTCAATTATATTATATTTTGTTTTAAACTTTGATAACAGTTCTCTAGAAATCTCTAGGTCCTTCTGTGGCCAACTTCCACCATAGAATTTTACTTTGAGGACCTAGAGATTCCTGGAGAGAACATTTCGTGCATAACCAAATTTGCAAAAGTCCAACCTGTGAATGGGGAAGTCCAACAGTTGTTGTTATTGTTGAGAACTTTAAAGAACATTTCCCCTCTTTCTTCCATAGCTGTAGCTGACGAAGCCGGTTATTACTTCTTCAATGGCAATTTCCGAGTCGATAGCCCCAAGAATTTCAACATTGCGGGGACCATTTTCAAATACAGGAGGCCGATGGACATTTACGAGACTGGGATCGAATACATTGTAGCTCAAGGGCCAACCAACCAAGGCTTGAACATCATGGTGAGACATGCAAACATTACTTGGGGTCTCATGAACCTCCCCAACAAATCTTTTCTCCTTGACTGATGAACTAAATCAGTAAATACGCATTCATCTATATAAATAAACTTGTAATGTTCGTTTGTGGGATTAGCATAACTCAAAAACCACTGGATGAATTGACACCAAATTTGGACACAAGACACATCTCAGGCCAATGAGTAACCATCACTCACAAAAACACTGAAAAACACAGCAAAAGGGACTCACAAAGCAAAAAACCCCAAAACAAAACAAAACAAAAAGACGCTACAGCGCATGCGCAAAAACGACTCCCCCGGCAAACAAAACACACATTGCATATCCACACTCACTTCCGGACTACAGCTCCCAGCATCCCCTAGACCAGGCTCAAATGCACTGCTTCCAAGATGCAAGCTTTCTTCTCCTTGGATTTCTTTGAGAGCCTCCCAATTCCTGCAGATTTCCAATTTCCTATTTCCAGACTGCAACTCCCAGCAATCCTCCAGATAGAGAGACTAGAAATAGATAGATAGATAGATAGATAGATAGATAGATAGATAGATAGATAGATGGATGGATAGATGGATAGATGAAGGAATGGATGGATGGATAGATGTATGGATGTATGGATGTATGGATCAATAGATAGGCAGATGGATAGAGGGATGGAGGAATGGATGGATGGATGGATGGATGGATGGATGATAGATAGATAGATAGATAGATAGATAGATAGATAGATAGATAGATAGAGAGATGAGAGATGGATGTAGATGGGTGGGTGGATGGATGGATGGATGGATGGATAGATGGATAGATAGATGGATGAATGGATAGATAGATAGATAGATAGATAGATAGATATAGATAGATATGCAATCCCTGCATATTTCCAATTTCCTATTCCTGTACTGCAACTCCCAGCAGTCCCCCAGATAGCTAGATTAGATAGTGATAGATAGGAAGCTAGATAGATTGATCAGGAGGACTGCTGGGAGTTGCAGTCCAAGAATAGGTAGAGAAGGAAGAACGGGGAGAAAGAGGAAGGGAAAGAAAAGGGGGAAATGAAGGAAAGAGAAGGAAGAGAGAAGGAAAGAAAAAAGGGGAAGGAAGGAGGGAAGGAAAGAAGGAAAGAGGGAGGGAAGGTTGGCCACAGCAATGCGTGGTAGGTACAGCTAGTATTTAATATTAATGTTTGCAATTTCCTTGCCCGCTTCAGGTTTGGAACCAAAATGGAAAGAACCCATCAATTACATATGAGTACACCCTCCTGCGGAGGCCACATTTGAAAAATATGCAGCCTGTGTACTATACCTTCTCTGCATCTGAGAGCGAGGAGAGCCAAGAGGTGGAGGGCGAGCAGCCCTTAGGGTTTGTTCAGCGCAATGCGAGCTTCTTTGGGACTCTGTCCAAAGAAAAGATCCACCTGGAGAACCGCATGTTTGGCCGGCCAGACACAGCGGAAGACCTGGACTTGAGCAAAATCCAGGAGACCAATGAAGTCTATGAAAGGATGGAAACCAAGGACTGCGATCCAGCCTTGAATGGGAAAGAAACCAAAGGTGAGGAAGAGGAGGAGACGTGGCTCCAAGTGGTGAGAACAATGGGTGACAGGAAGCCTTCATATGCATCATTCACTATCTTAACAAGAGTTACAGTGAGATGTCACATGGTCTGAAATCCATAGGACTAATTACAATTCCACCAGAGTTTGCAAGCTTCCCAGTTGTCCCTAAAATTCTCCAAGTTCGGAGTTGAGACTAAAAGACAGTTAGATGTTTTATCCACAAGGTCTGCATGTAAACAAAGTCTAGAATCATATTGCCGTCGCGCCTGGGGGCTATAACTCTTAGTGAAAGAGACATAGACGTGACATCTTTCCCCCAGGGGATTGCTTCTTGACTTCTTTTAAAGAACTGGAACTCCCAAGGACCAAAACACTGTAGATAACTCAAAATAGGTTTTATTGTTCACAAAGAGTTATCCCTTTAAGGCAATAAGCTGGAAGTTTCAAAGGGGGTAAAGGAAATATACATTACAGTCTCTGGTTGTCTTGGGTCCAAGGAGATTTCGCAGCTGAGAAGTTTTTCCTGTTCCGTCTTTTCTCAATGGCTGTGAAGGTCAGAACAAACACAAACCCCAGTCCAATGGCCTATGTTGAAGGCACAGAGTCTTCCTTTTGATGCCAAAGGACAGGTTTGAAGGCGCTTGGGTCTCCTCAACATTGTCCAGGGCGATCTGGACATGAAGCATGAGTCCCAAGGGTAAAAACCTTAGAATTGGTGATGAGAGGTAACTTAATTAAGGGCTTTAGAGCCAAGTCTCTTTCTCACATCTATCTGATAGAAAGTCTGATGGTAGAATGGAAAAGGAAAAACTCTGCTCTCCTCCAGGAAGAGGTGGAGCCAAGCAATTGAGCTGAGGAAGCAATATAACTGGTGCAAACAACATTGATTGACAGCTATAAATAACCAATCAATCCAACTATACATTTACAAACTAAGCAAGTATGGGCATGTAATACAGTTTAAACCTTTGCACTTTAAAGTTCTACACACAGTTGGCGCCACTCGCGCTGTCACAAATACTGAAAGTCACTGAATTAAGACAGTTTCAGTGACAGAAAAGGTGGCGCTTTTTGAGGGGGGGGGAAATGGCATTCATGACCTTTTTGAAAAGAAAATATGATGCCATATCTTTTTGGCAAATGTGGACTCATCTCTGAACCTGGAGAATCTCAATGGACATCTTTTTGAAAACCATTAGTCAAGGAAAGGCATGACCTTGTTAGAAGTCAACTCTTTGAAAAAGTGATGTTCACAACAATTCATGTAATGGCACACAGGTAACTCAGTTGTTAAACTGGCCATGACTTTGAACTGCCAGGGACAAAGACATGCCACTCCACAAAAAATATATACTTAGCTAGCAGAGTTTTAAAACATTTCTTTGAAGTTAAAGTTCTTTTATACTCTTCCTTGAAACCTTTTAGTTTTAAATATGCACTCAGAGACCAAAAAACTTCTTGTTTACTCACAGTAATCTTGTATTAATTCAGCATACAGGCACATTCATAGATAGGATGTAGTTTCTCTGTGTTGCGAACACAGGGCATCATTCTTAATCAATAGTCCATAGTCCAAAGTCTTTAAGTATACATCTTATGAAAGTCCAAACTGTATAAGTGTACTCTCTGCTTCTCAAAGCAAACATATAGTAAACTGTTCTTGCATAAATCCAAATGCAAACTGCATCTATTGAAGTCCAAACAGCATTGGATGAGAGGAACATTATTCACCAGGCATGGAGTACAGTTGGACCACCACTTTTGTAGGTTTCACACTTGCAATTTTGATTATTTGCAATCTTGAAATTGCCTTCTGAAGTTGGGGCTGCCATGTGAACATCTTTCTTTCTTTCTTTCTTTCTTTCTTTCTTTCTTTCTTTCTTTCTTTCTGACTCCTCGTTCCAGATTCAAATGTCACCAAATCCAATTACATGGTTGAAGGAAACAGGCGAGAACTGGACTCCCGGCTGGCTTCCAAAGAATTCCTCTCTGAAAATGCCATTACCCACAAACTGTTGGAGAGGACGTCCGACTCGAAAGAATCAGACCAGAACAAGACCACCAACAGTATCTTTTCTTCAAAGAAACTCACCAATTCTGTTGGGTCCCATGCTGACAGCCTTTATGTCGATTATGACGACACCGATGAGGCCGTGGCTTACGCTGTCAATGGCACATTCCTGGAATTAAGCAGCGACAAAACCATCAACACCTCTTCTGAGACCCAATTTTCCAACTCCACTATCTCTGTCGCAATTCCTCAAGGGAATAGAACCCACAAAACCAGGTAAGAGGTTGGTGGGTCCCACTATTTATGACCAGAATCTAGCTTTGGCATTGTTAGGTGGACAACGGGTGGTTATCCTTTACTCTTCTATAGTATATGGGCTGGGGGTGATAGTAGACACGTGAAGGTAAGTTGGTCAAACAAGGAATGCAAGATTAGTGGGGATACTCCTGGTATGTTGGGGTCAAAGCTAACATGTAGATCCCTTCAAACCAGAGATAGACATCAACTGGTTTATAGCGTAGGGCTAGCTGATGGATCCACCACTACGGTGATGGTGAACGCACTCTCGATTTTCCACACCATTTCCCCAAATAGAACACGGGTTTTGTCAATGATGGATTCTAGTTTGGCAATTATGGAAGGAGTGATGGAGTTCTTCCACAGTCACACCAGTGGAGTGCTTCCACAGTTGAACCATTGGAGTTTTTCCATAGTTGGATTGTTGGGAGTTCTTCCATGGTTGGACAGTTGGTCCTTCCATAGTTGGACTTTTGGGGTCCTTTTATGGTTGGACTGTTGGACTCTTTTCATAGTTGGACCATTGGAGTCCTTCCATATCTGCTTCAGGAGAGTCCATCAAGATTTCCCCTATTCTGCAATGGTGGATCTATCACGTTTGTGGAGTTTTTCCACAGTCACACCAGTGCAGTCCTTCCACAGTTGAACCACTGGAGTCTTTCCATAGTTGGACTGTTGGAATCCTTCCACAGTTGAACCGTTGGAGTCTTTCCATAGTTGGACTGTTGGAGTCCTTCCACAATTGAACCGTTGGAGTCTTTCCATAGTTGGACTGTTGGAGTCCTTCCACAGTTGAACCATTGGAGTCTTTCCATAGTTGTACTGTTGCAGTTCTTCCACGGTTGGACCATTGGATTCTTTCCACAGTTGGACTGTTGGAGTCCTTCCACAGTTGAATCATTGGACTCTTTCCATAATTGGAACATTGGAGTCCTATTCTGTAATGGTGGATCTATCACATTGGAGTTCTTCCACAGTCATACTAGTGCACTCCTTCCACAGTTGAACCATTGGAGTCTTTCCATAGTTGGACTGTTGGAGTCCTTCCACAGTTGAACTGTTGGACTCTTTTCATAATTGGACCATTGGAGTCCTTACACATTTGCATCAGTAGAGTCCACCATGATTTCCCCTATTCTGAGATAGTGGATCTATCACATTGGAGTTCTTCCATAGTCACACCAGTATAGTCCTTCCACAGTTGAATTGTTAGAGTCTTTCCATAGTTGAACCATTGGAGTCTCTCCATAGTTGGACTGTTGGAGTCCTTCCACGGTTGGACCTTTGGAGTCTTTCCATAGTTAGACTGTTAGAGTCCTTCCATGGCTGAACCATTAGACTCTTTCTAAAGTTGGACCATTGGAGTCCTTCCACATTTGCATTAATAGAATCCATCATGACATCCCCTACTCTACATTGGTGGATCTCTCACGTTGCCCCTGGTTGGATGAAGAGTTGGGTCTTGCTCTTAAAAAGGACATCCCTATTTAACAATTGGAAGTTGGTTCCAAAGTTCAGGGTGACATCCATGTGGGAAATGCTCCTAATATAAGGAAAGGTAATTCAAGTGACCTTTTGAAGGGACGCTGTTGAGCATTTTTTCGGTCTGGTTCCAACACTTGCTCTTTGTCAATGAAGGCATTGCATTAAATTGGCTCTTGGTAGCAGAATCTTTCATTATGCCTTTCCTACAGAAATGATACAAAAATAATATTTCCTACAGAAACAATACAAAAACTGTATCATCTGGATCAAAGTTGGTCAGAGAGGGAGACAAGTATTTTTGCAGCCATCGCTCTTTGTAGCGTCCCTTTAAAACACTTTCATGGAGCAACACTGCCGTCCTTTTCCCTTTAAAGGAGAGGAAAGGGGCAAAATGCCAGAGCTTCTGCTGTCAAGAAATGATGACAAGCCACCCTTTGGCAATTCAGAGAGAGGGCTGGGTTCTTCTGTTGTTGTACCCTGTGTCTATTTCGCCGCGGCCGTGCAGCCGTTCTGAATGTTTCCTTGTTTAAAAAATGAGTTGTGAATGTAGTTTTGATTGTTTACTTGCTGTTAAAGGGGCAGCATAAGCTGTGACCCAAGGACAATGTTTCTTAAACTGACCAAAATCTTGGGGTCGACTAATGGAGAAATGGATATATGGATTTTTTATTGTCTTCAAGGAAGCTCCTTCTTATCTCTGGCTCCATGCTGTGGAATCCTGGGAGTTATAGTTTCACGAAGCCTTACATCTTCTTTGTCAATTACCAATTAAATTAAAGAGCAATTACATGCATTTAACAGTGTAGATGTACCTTAAGGAGACAAGAAGTTGTGTTTCCTACCTAGCAAAGATGTGTCTCTTGCATTCTTGGGCAAAGAAGGCTCAAGATGTTGTTGAAGGCTTCATGAATGGAATCACTGAATTGCTGTGAGTTTTCCGGGCTGTCTAGAGTGGTCCAGCATTTCTGCATTCTCAGATAATATGCTGTGTCCAGGTTGATTCATTAGGTGCTTCCCCCAGGCAGGAAACAGCCAGGCTTTGAAGCTGCAAGGCCAATTGCAACATTCACAGTTGCCTCAAGCAGACAAGATTTGTTTCTCCCACCCTGGACATTATTCCACAGATACATAAACCTCACTTGCCTAGTTTCCAACAGACCTCACAACCTCTGAGGATGCCTGCCATGGATGTGGGCGAAACATCAGGAGAGAATGCTTCTGGAACATGGCCATACAGTCTGGAAAACTCACAGCAACCCAATGATTCTGGCCATGAAAGCCTTCAACAATACGTTGTCCTAAACATTGTCTTGGGTCTCATAATAATAATAATACGTCATCTGCAAATAGCTTTATTTTATGCTCCATGTTATATTATTGACCCAAGGCACCTGAAGTGAAACTGAAAGAAAAGCCAAATGTTTAGGAAATGCCATTATTTCCACTGGCTTCCTATTCTTCCATCTGCAAATTTTCCAATTCCACTCAAAGGCTGCAATATACATATATGTGCGTGTGTGCGTGTGCGTGTGTCTTTACAAAAAAACTGAAACTGTTTCTGTTTGTGGGTATTTTTATCCCATTCTCTCTATTTCTAGACAGTGGAAGCTCTGCCTGTAACCGGGCTGGGGATTCTGCTTGGGGAATCAGGACAGGTATGTTGTATTATAACCAAACCATCCCAAAATTGCTACATTCTGAGCATTTCACCCCAAAATTCATTGCTTTTTTAAAACCTCAAGCACGATGGCAATACAAATTAACTCCACACCCAATTAGAGACCCAACTTCCCCCCCTTTTTTTACATCCCTTCCTAGCTGATTGTTTTAATCAGAGACACTCTCATTTTTGTATTTCCGGTTGTCATTCTTTAGGAACCGGTTGAAACTGTTCCGAAAGGGCCAAAACATGAGTCCGGCGGATATGTACCGATGGAAGCTGTCATCCCACGAACCCTGCAGTTCAACCTGTACAACAGGTAAGTTGAAATTCAAGTCATAACACTTAAAAAATTGAGCATAAAATAAAGCTATTTGCAGATGACGTATTATTATTATTAGGAGACCCAAGACAATGTTTAGGACAATGTGTTGTCAAAGGCTTTCATAGTCGGATTCACTGGGTTGCTGTGAGTTTTCCGGTCCGTATGGCCATGTCCCAAAAGCATTCTCTCCTGACATTTCAACCCACATCTATGGTAGGCATCCTCAGAGGTTGTCGGAAACTAGACAAGTGGGGTTTATATACCTGTGGAATAATGTTCAGGATGAGAGAAAGAACTTGTCTGTTGGAGGCAGGTGTGAAAATCCAATGAATACTACATTCAGCAATGGGCAAGAGGAATCTTAACACTTCTGCAGTAGTCTACCGTATACCATGTAGCTGTGGACATATCTGTAATGAAATGAAAATCACGCATAGTTCACATTTGATCACCCACACACTGCCTTGCCAGAGAAAGAAAATATGCCACATAGATTAACAGTTAGGAACAAGTAGTTTACTTTTCGTAATTCAGAACCACATATTTACAATCATGTGATCAGTTCCATCGACTCACATAATGGCCTTTTAGAAAGATGGTGTGCTGGTACGGCTGTAACAGGAGCTCCAACTTTATTTTCTTTCTGTTAATCTGTTTGCAGTCATAGGGCAGGCCTCCTGTCCATCATAATTAAGCTTTGGTTCCACCCCTTGTTCAAGGCTCTGGGGGGGGAAAGGAGCCATTTTTTTGGGCAGTCTCACACAAGGAAGCTAAACTATAGGACATAGACCAGCTCGTCCCATAGAAAAGCTTCTTTTCTCAAGACTATCCAGGGAAAAAGAGCTTCCAGGGAAAAGGTCCCAAGGCTCTGGCTGAAAGCTCACAGCCTCTCAGCCTCACAGCAATCAGAGGGAAAACAGCCCTGAAGTTTCAAAGAACTCTCTGAGGGAGGACAGCATTACAGATCCATGGAACTCCATCTGAAATATCTTCAAGCCTCGGCTGGTAGGTCTACTCAATACCCAGACGCATTTGGAATTGGTAGTAGGACCCACACCGATGAGGCATAGATAGTAATCAGCCTGGGAGAGGTTAAAAAGGGTTTTTCCTACAGAGAAAGTACAGTTAATCAAAGTCAGATACCAGCCAATTGAGGACTAGACTAAGAAAGCCTTGTGGTGTTGTTTGAACCATTTAAGATTTGTTGTTTGTTCCATAATAAAGACTTTGTTGTATCATTAAAGACTCTAAAGACCATTACTTCAGAAAAATCCCTGAGAACCTCTCTTTGAGGCACCCCTGGCTTCCCGCTGGGCTTAAAGTATACGTCCTATAGAAAAAGTACAGCTGTTACAGGCCCAGTGTGCAACAGAACAGATGGTCTTTCTTTGTACATGTGGAGAATCTTTCTCCCAGCAGCTCGTGAAGCAAGAGCACACTCTAAACTGTCTCTCTATCTGCAAGCACCTGCATAGTTCAAGTCTGAAAAATGTCACAGTATCCAAAAGTCCCAGGCTCAGCCATCAGAGCTAAAACCTCCCAACAAAGGATTCCCCTGGACAGGAAGCAGCTAGGCTTTGAAGCCAATGCTAATCAATCTGGCCAATGGCAACATACACACCTGCCTCAAACAGACAAGAGTTCTTCCTTCCAACCTGGACATTATTCTACAGATATATAAATCCCACTTGCCTAGTTTCCAACTGACCTCGCTACCTCTGAGGATACCTGCCACAGATGTGGGCGAAATGTCAGGAGATAATGCTTCTGGAACATGGCCAGACAGCCTGGGAAACTTACAGATAAATCTTAATACACATGCAAGAATTAAAACATAGCTGCTTTGAGTCTCTACATCAGGAGATTGCAAAATAAATTAAGGAAGTAAAGAAATGGAAACAAATCATATAAAATACAATCGAAATAAATAAATATGAAACTCATCATAGTGATCTTGTATTATTGTTAACTGTCATTAAAATGTAAAAAAACTTGGTTGTGGCTGAGAGAAATCTATCTTATCTGGATGCAGGTGTGATGTCCACCTATGCCATGTGCATCCGCTACGATGGGATCGAAGTGGATGATATGTATTGCGATGCCATGACCCGTCCTGAGCCTGTCCATGAATTCTGCGCTGGAAGGGAATGCCAACCTAGGTATTCATATGGAGATAAGTCTTGCCCCTTTCAAGGTGGTTATTATAGGAAGCCCAAATGAACCTTCTGCAGAAATAGAAACAGGATCAAAGTGAATTGCACCCTTGGCTTTCTTAGGTGGGAAGCCAGCAGTTGGAGCGAATGCTCCCGCACGTGTGGCGAAGGGTACCAATTCCGCATCGTCCGCTGTTGGAAGATGATCTCGCCCGGGTTCGACAGCTCCGTCTATAGTGACCTGTGCGAGTCTGCTGACATCATTCGCCCGGAAGAGCGGAAGATCTGCAAAAACCCAGCGTGTGGGCCACAGTGGGAGATGTCGGAATGGTCCGAGGTATGACCGACACAATTATACAAATGTTTTTGATGCAACAGACAGGTGGTCGCTGCAACGGGACAGGTGGGAGGAGGGCATAGTGTAACAGGGAACTATTACTGTATGGATAGTAGGAGGCATTGTTTAAAACAACAACAATTTTATTACAGACCATAGACCCATCAGTAAAACCAACAATCATTATAAATTCTCCAATCACCACCTACTTAACCCATCTGTGGGTGTGTGACCACATGTTCTTTAGAACTGTATTTTCAACCAGTTTTACACAATGGGTTACAATCAATGCAATCCTCTCTAACAGTGCATTATCTACCTAACATCATGGAAACAGAAATGATGGCCTCTTCGATAGACTCTGAAATGGCTATACTTGTATGTGTGTGTTTACTGTTGCCTCATTCACTCAGCTGTCTTTCTTCTCCCTCTCTCTGACCCCTCAGTGTACAGCAAAATGCGGTGAGAGGAGTATTGTGAGCAGGGACATCCGGTGCTCAGAGGAAGAGCGGTTGTGTGACCCCAGCACCAGGCCACCCGCCGACAAGAACTGCACGGGATCCCCTTGCGACCGGCAGTGGACTGTCTCGGACTGGGGACCGGTGAGTCCCTTAGGTGTGTGGGGAGGATAAGCTTGACCATGGGACATGGGGTATCTCCATGAGCAAGATAATGTGGGAGAGGGTGTATGTCCAGAGATATTTAGGTCAATAGGATTCCTAATGTCCAATAGGCCTTTGATCTGATGGAGCTCCTATAGTCCAATAGATATCCAAGTCCAGAGATATTTAGGTCAACAGGGCTCCTAATGTCCAATAGGCTTTTAATTCGATGGATCTCCTATAGTCCAATAGATATATAAGTCAATAGATCTGCTAATGTCCAGAGATATTTAGGTCAACAGGAATCCTAATGTCCAAAAGGCCTTTGATTCAATGTAACTCCTATAGTCCAATAGATATTTAACTTAACGGATTTGCTAATGTCCAGAAATATTAAGGTCAACAGGACTTAGGTCCATGAATCACCTGTAGTTCAATGGAAATTTAAGTCAACACATCTGCTAATGTCCATAGCTATTTAGGTCAAAAGTTCTGCTAATGTCCCATAGGTCTTTGTTTTGATGGATCTGTTATAGTCCGATAGATATTTAAGTCAACACATCTACTAATGTCCATAGATATTTAGGTCAACAGATCTGCTAATGTCCAGAGATAGTTAGGTCAACAGGTCTCCCAATGTTCCATAGGTCTTTGTTTTGATGGATCACCTATAGTCCAATAGATATTTAAGTCAACAGATCAGCTAATGTCCAGATATTTAGATCAACAGGTGTCCTAATGTCCCATAAGTCTTTGTTTTGATGGATCTCCTATAGTCCAACAGATATTTAAGTCAACAGATCTGCTAATGTCTAGAAATATTTAGGTCAACGGGTCTCCTAATGTATAACAGATCTTTGATTCAATGGATCACCTATAGTCCAATAGATATTCAAGTCAACAGATCTGCTAATGTCCAGATACATTTAGGTCAACAGGACTCCTAATGTCCCATAGGTCTTTGTTTTGGTGGATCTCCTATAGTTCAACAGATATTCAAGTCAACAGATCTGCTAATGTCTAGAAATATTTAGGTCAACGGGTCTCCTAATGTCCCATAGCTCTTTGTTTTGGTGGATCTCCTATAGTCCAATAGATATTCAAGTCAACAGATCTGCTAATGTCCAGAGACATTTAGGTCAACAGGACTCCTAATGTCCCATAGGTCTTTGTTTTGGTGGATCTCCTATAGTTCAATAGATGTTCAAGTCAACAGATCTGCTAATGTCTAGAAATATTTAGGTCAACGGGTCTCCTAATGTATAACAGATCTTTGATTCAATGGATCACCTATAGTCCAATAGATATTCAAGTCCACAGATCTGCTAATGTTCGGAGATATTTAAGTCCACAGATCTGCTAATGTTCAGATATATTTATGTCAACAGATTTGCTAATGTTTAGATATATTTAAGTCCATAGATCTGCTAATGTCCATTAATATTTATGCCGAGCCAGGCCAAGACTTTGTTTGGTGGTTACGACAGAATATGTTGGATTCACCGCTTGGTAGTTTTAGCTTCTGGCATTGTTTCCTATTTCTTTTGCACCATCATGGAATTTCCCATTCGAAAATGGTTTGCATGTGTCTCGTTCTTTGCCATACTCGACATACGGCATTAAGAAAAAAACCCAAACACTTTCATTCTAGGTTTTGGGAGGGGCCTTTGCAAAAAGATCTCCCTTGACTTGTCACCTGGAAGCCAAACGTTCGAGCTGCTCTGACCGCATTAGCTGCGGACAATTACAAAGAGCCGAACCCAGTGTCTGTTTTTGCCATCCAAAGGCTCTTTGCGAAGCCAACCTTGGCATGGTTTCTCGTAGTGTGGGGATTAAATTGCATTTGTTCGCAGCCCCCGGGCTTGGCAGATGCTCCTCGGCTTCCAGTAACCTCGTTGCTTTTCCAACTGTAAGCCGAACTCCAGATGCAAACAATGTCCTTTTTGCCCCATTTCCTCCTTTCTTGGTCGGCGCACTTCAGGGGATCGGAAAAGAGGCCAAGGAACTTGTGCGGTGTGCCTTTTCCCTCCCCTCTCTTCCCTCCCCGGCCCTTCCAACTTCCAAAATGGAGATGGAAAAATAAAAAAAGAAAGGACAAGGAAGGGATCTCTTTTCCAAACCGAGGTCAGGAAAACCAAACGTTATGTAAAATGGAAGTGACAATATTTCTTTCCGGTTCCTTGCATTTCTTCAGGGTGGTCGACATTTCCTTGGCAACTTGTTTATTAGGATAATACCAATTGTTCCCAAGCTTATGTGCACATTTTTGAAAATGGTGGAGATAAGAAATGTCAGGTGGGGAATAGCAAGGTGGGGATGATATTTGGGGAGGCAAAATTTTGGTGGATGAAAGCAGTCTTTTCACCCTGCTGTAGTATCTGCATTCTTATATATATACCAGCTTAGGGACCCGGCGTCATGCAAATTCCACACCAATGGAGAGAGTAAGAAACACTGGGATGTCTGTGGTGGAGGAAACACATATACATATGCTAGCTTTGGTACCCAGCGTTGCCCGGGTTATTTGAAAAAGTTATTTTTTTTAAAATTGTACAAAATGTATAAGGTTGTGGGTGAACTGCAACTCATATCATGCCAGGCTCAAGCTCCAGAAGTACTCAAAGTGTGTTATCTTGGGCAAGTTTGCTCTAGATCAGTGGTTCTCATCCTGGGGTCCCCAGATGTTTTTGGCCTACAACTCCCAGAAATCCCATCTAGTTTACCAGCTGTTAGGATTTCTGGGAGTTGTAGGCCAAAAACATCTGGGGACCCCAGGTTGAGAACCACTGCTCTAGATGCATCATCAGTGGGGTTCAGTGTGCTCTCTCACTGTAGGGGAAACTACAACTCTGTCCCCTCAAACCCTTCCAGTAGGTTGAGTTAGTCCTGGGGGTTCTGTGTGCCAAGTTTGGTCCAGGTCCATCATCAGTGGAAGTCACCGTTTCTCTGGTTGTGGGTGAACAACAACTCCCAGAAAGGAAGGTCAGTTCTCCCCAAACCCTTCTAGTAATTACATTTCTGCATATCGGGTATGTGTGGCAAGTTTGGTCCAGATCCATTGGTGTTTGGGTTCACAGTGCTCTCTAGTTGTAGATGAACTACAACTCCCCCCAATTAAGGTGATTTCCCCCCAAAGACCATCAGTATTTTTAATTGACTATGCAGGCTTTGTGTGCCAAGTTTGGTCCACTTCCATCTTTGTTGGAGTTCAGAGTGCTCTTAGATTGCAAGTGAACTATAAATCCAGTTAGTCTCAGCTTCTGCCAACCTAGCAGTTCGAAAACATGCAAATGTGAGTAGATCAATAGGTACCACCTTGGTGGGAAGGTAACGGCACTCCATGGTGTCGTGCTGGCCACAAGACCTTGGAGGCATCTATGGACAATGCCAGCTCTTTGGCTTAGAAATGGAGATGGGCACCAAACCCCAGAGTTGGACACAACTAGACTTAATGTCAGGGGGAAACCTTTCCCTTTTATGTGTGTATATAATATGTCTGTATTGGAATGTGGATAATACAGAAGGGTATATGCTCTCGGCTGGATTGTGATCGCGTGATACCGCAATTGTGTGATTCCTCATTGCGACCCAATACCAATAACTCCCCTCAAATCTGCTCCTGAAATTTATAGAACACTTGGAAATGTGAGATTCAGCAAATTTGAGATCTCTTGCCTGCTGAGTCTCCTAAACATGATTATGCAATGTATGTGCTTTTTCATTGTGTTGGGCCCCGGAGTCCCTTAGGTTTGATCTCCATTGCTTGAAAAGACGGAAGAAGTTTTGAGTTTCTTTTCCTATCAGTCCTAGAGTTTTTGCCTTCCTTCTTCTAAAGTGAAGCAAAACACCAATCTCTGGCTCTTGCAAACACAACCTTCCCAGTTGGTGTGCCTCGTGTGTGTCATGGGGGGTTATTTATAATTCCCATTTTCGAATCGGCAACCAGGGCTAAAAATAAGCGGTTGCTAGGGTGACAGCTGGCAACTAGGAGGAGGAGAAGGGGGGAAACTGGTTGCCTTTCAAGAAAGGAGCCCCACAAAGGGAATATTGGATGTTTTGGGGAAGGGGGAGTTGTCAGGAAGGCTGCGGGAAATCGGAGCCAAGGCAAAGCGAACCTCCGCCAGGGCTCCTCTTCATTGTCATATTTCACACCTTGGCATTTGCGGTAAAGCAGTCTTTGCTCTTTAGGAGAGAATGTTACAGATTGGGTTGAAGAGGAACATGTCACAAAGTCATGCTCCATTAGGAAGTTCTCCTCAACGGCTCTGTAGCGGGATGAAGAACATGCTACGAGGGCTAGGTCCATGGTTTGCACCCTACAAGACTGGATTAAAGGGTGACTTGAAGGGAGTTAATGGGATTGGGTTGCAATGAGGAATCACGCGATTGGGGTATCATGCAATCACAATCCGGCCGAGAGCATATACCCTTCTGTATCATCCACATTCTAATACAGACGTTTCACACGCACACACAAACACACATCTATCTATACATATAATAAAAGCGTATCATAAATTGCAATCCAGTGATGCTATGTTTCTTTCATGTAGTTGCCTTAAACTTGAGTTGCCGATTTATCTATATATCTCTATCTCTATCTCTATCTCTATCCATCCATCTCCATCTCCATCTCCATCTCCATCTCCATCTCCATCTCCATCTCCATCTCCATCTCCATCTCCATCTCCATCTCCATCTCCATCTCCATCTCCATCTCCATCTCCATCTCCATCTCCATCTCCATCTCCAATCTCCAATCTCCAATCTCCAATCTCCAATCTCCAATCTCCAATCTCCAATCTCCACCTCTACCTCTATCGATGTCCTATCTATCTATCTATCTATCTATCTATCTATCTATCTATCTATCTATCTATCTATCCATCCATCCATCCATCCCCATCTTTGTCTCCAATTTCCAATCTCTACCTCTACCTCTATCGATGTCCTATCTATCTATCTATCTATCTATCTATCTATCTATCTATCTCCATCACCATCACCATCACCATCACCATCACCATCACCATCACCAATCTCCACCTCTACCTCTACCTCTATCGATGTCCTATCTATCTATCTATCTATCTATCTATCTATCTATCTATCTCCTCCATCTCCAATCTCTAACCTCTACCTTTATCTCTATCTCTATCGATGTCTTGTCTATCTATCCATCCATTCATACCCGTCCCCGTCTCCATCTCCAATCTCCAATCTCTACCTCTACCTCTATCGATGTCCTATCTATCTATCTATCTATCTATCTATCTATCTATCTATCTATCTATCTCTCCATCTCCAATCTCCACCACTACCTCTATCTCTATCGATGTCTATCTATCTATCTATCTATCCATCCATCCATTCCTCCCCGTCTCCGTCTTCATCTCCAATCTCCACCTCTACCTCTACCTCTATTGATGTCTTCTATCTATCTATCTATCTATCTATCTATCTATCTATCTATCTATCTATCTATCTATCTATCTATCTATCTATCTATCTATCTATCTATCTATCTGTCACCATCACCATCACCATCTCCAATCTCCAATCTCCAATCTCTAACCTCTACCTCTACCTCTATCTCTGCCTTATCTATTTATTTATCTCCATCTCCATCTATCTATATCCACATAATAAAAGTGACAATATGTATGTGTGTGTGTGGCTGGGGTGTCCACTAATGCAGACAAACTCCTGCCTCCACAAAGAGCTATAGCTCCCACTCCTCAGGAGACACCAATGGCCCTCCCTCCAAGGACATTGAAGGTTATAATGTGCGCTACGAACATGCACAAGAGCCCTGCCAATGTTCTCCACAAGCACCACACTGCCCACCACCCAAGTGAAGCCTTTGAGATGAGGACAATTTCCTCCTAGATTTTCTGTTTTTTCTCCACCACAGACACCCCAGTGTTTCTGACTCTCTCCATTGGTGTGGAATTTGCATGACCCTAGCCTTTTTGGCTGCTTAAGATGATTAGGAAACTGACTTTGGGAGGCTTCGAGGTTTACAAAATTAAAACAAAAAAGGATTGGGTAAGTTTTGATTCTTAGGCCACACTCATGTGTCAGATATCACCTCGGAAGTACAGGTTAACGAATTTTAATACAACTTACAGAACTTACTCCCCCCCCCCCCCCACAAACCTAATAGCTAGATAGCTGGCTGGATAACTTCATAGATGAGATGTGTTTTTGGTCAACTTCTGAAGATAATTAGCAAATAACCATAGGGTTATGCTGGAGAAGCTTAAGATTCTTAGAGAGGTGTTCTCTTGGGTAATCTCTAGGTCCTCAAGTGAGATTTGATGGTCGTCTTCATAGAGCTACATCGGAGAACCTGGATGTACTTAGAGCAGTGGTTCTCAACATGTGGGTCCCCAGGTGTTTTGACCTACAACTCCCAGAAATCTCTGCTAGTTTACCAGCTGTTAGATTTTCTGGAAGTTGAAGGCCAAAACATCTGGGGACCCACAGGTGGAGAACCACTGTCTTAGAGAGAGAGACCATTGGAATCACATCCCCGAAGAATCAAATCTGACCATAGTTTGACCTATTTATAGTTGGATTTACACTTGACTAGTAGGTGGAGGATCTACTAGTGGTGAATTCCATGGTGGACACCAAAGTGAAGGTATTCCTGTTTGTGGACTCTATTCAGTTGGCCGTCCTTGTTATGAAAATTTTTTTGCCCAAGAGTGACCTTCAGTTGTCATATTCCAGTGAACATTTTGCAAACATACCTCTCATTTGTATTTTTCAGTGCAGTGGGGGCTGTGGACAAGGACGAATGATCCGCCACGTCTACTGCAAAACCAGCGATGGACGTGTGGTACCAGAATCACAGTGTAACCTGGAGACCAAACCGCTTGCCATCCACCCCTGTGGGGATAAGAACTGTCCTGCCCACTGGTTGGCCCAAGACTGGGAAAGGGTGAGTGTTGGACCAAGAGGGAGGGCTGAGATATCTTCTTCATTTTTTGCTCCATTGATGGCTCCTTCATTGACCAGTGTGGCCAAGTGCTAACTGGAGGTCACTTGTGACCCACAAACTTGTTTTTGTAGCTCTTCATGCCTCCAGAACCCAACCTCCTTTATCTAGCCCAAGAAAAAGATTGAATTCCCACTCCAAAACGCCTTCAGCAACTAAATGCATCTCAAGATGTTTCATTCTTCTCCTTTGCAGTGTAATACCACCTGTGGCCGAGGGGTAAAGAAGCGGATTGTGTTGTGCCTGGAGATCGTCAATGGGAAGCTCAAAACCCGCAGCCCGACAGAATGTGACATCACCAAGAAGCCGATAGAGGAAACCACCTGCTTTGAGCGGCCTTGTTTCAAGTGGTACACCACCCCGTGGTCCGAGGTGAGGACTTGTGTGTGTGGAGTCTCTGGTGGGGCAATGGGTGAGAGCCCTTGTGTGGTACAGTGAATTTAGCATGGAAGGACTAATGGTTAGAGATAATGCCGTCCTTGGTAGATCTTAGAGCTTCGAGATGGGTGGAGGTCATAGCTTTGAACATTCAATGCTTTACCAGTAGAACGAGAATGAGACATTGACCACTTGTGGTGGACCTGTGGATGTTACAATACGATGAAGGGTACAACATTAAGGCAAATATAGTTGTTAGCAAGTAGGGGGAGAAATGAAAGCACCAAATCCTTTCGGATCCAGGAAGCTCAGCAGGGTCAGCCTTGAGTGGGGGCCCACCAATGAAGACCAGGTGTTGTAAAGCGATATTTCAGAGGAAGAACCTGGCAAAATCATCTCTGAGTATTCCTTCCCTAAGGAAACTCAAAGTGTCACCATCAGTCTGGAGGCAACTTGAAGGCACCATTTGAAATATGAACTGCTGGGCAACTTCTAAGCTGCCTGTTGCAGAACAAGAACAGCAACCTTTTCCCTCTTCTCTGTATGCTTAGTGTACCAAAACCTGTGGCATTGGCGTGAGGATGAGAGATGTGAAATGTTACCAAGGGAAGGACCTCGTCCGGGGCTGCGACCCTCTTGTGAAACCCGTTGGGAAGCAGACATGCGACCTTCAGCCCTGCCCGACTGAACCACCAGGTCAGTGGGGGGAGGCATTTGCAGAGTCTACTACAAGGATGTGTCACTATAGAAGATGCAGGGGTCATTCCCCCTCACTTTGGGTCCTCCTTTCCTTTGCACTGTAGTGTGACCCCCGGTATATCTGGAAGTGGCATGACACATCTGCCTATTTTGATTTTCTTTGTCTAAAAAGTATTGTTTCTTCAAGTGTTTTTCTGCACAAAACCTATTTCTGCACAGAATTTTGTTTTCTGTACAGAAAACACCAAAAAGCGGTGTTTTTTTACACAGTTTAATACCTCCGGAAGAAAATTCTGCAGGATTCTCATTGGACTATTATTATTTATTACTATTTTCAACTTGGTTTGTGGGAGCCCCCTATTTTAATCTTGGACTAAATACCATGCGACTCTTTTATCTGCAGAGTTGGTATCACAATTTCACTTACCATGCTCCCTAAAATATTCATCTCACCTGGAAGTGTTTGTTGGCTTCTCTAGGTCTTCTATGGCATGCTTTTGACCCAAATATAGAGTCCATTTGGGGAGGGAGGTCTTGATACGAGGAGAGGTCATATTTCCATAGTCTAGTACAAGGATGTGCCACTATGGAAGAGGCAGGGATCATTCCCCCTTTTTGGACATCCCTTTCCTATGGACCATAATGTAACCCCCAATATATACAGAAGTGGCACGACACCACTGCCTATTTTGATTTTCTTTGGCTGGAAAGTATTGTTTCTACTGTTTTCTGCACAAAAAACTATTTCTGCACAGGATTTAGTTTTCTGTACAGAAAACCCTAAAGAGTTTTTTATGTAGTTTAATACCTCTGGAAGAAAATTCTGCAATTTCCCAATCAATTATTTTTATTGTCAAGCTGGTTTGTGGGAGCCCCATATTTTAACCTTGGAGTAAATACCGTGAGACTCTTATCTGCAGAGTCGATGTCACAATTTGACTTACCATGCTCCTCAAAATATTCATCCCACCTGGAAGTGTTTGTGGGCTTCTCTAGGTCCTCTATGACATGCTTCAGTCCCAAGTATAGGGTCCAATATTTTGGAGGGGGGAGAGGTCTTGGAAGGTGTTCCTCCATTGATACAAGGAGGGGTAATTTTGTAATACAGTAGAGTCTCGCTTATCTGACATAAATGGGCTGGCAAAATGTCGGATAAACAAAAATGTCGGATAATACGGAGTCTCCTACTTTTATCCATCCAACATGGCGCTAGACAGTAGAGTCTCGCTTATCCGACATAAATGGGTTGGCAGAATGTTGGATAAACAAAAATGTCGGATAATACGGAGTCTCCTACTTTTATCCATCTAACATGGCGCTAGACAGTAGAGTTTCGCTTATCCGACATAAATGGGCTGGCAGAATGTCGGATAAATAAAAATGTCGGATAATACGGAATCTCTTACTTTTATCCATCCAACATGGTGCTAGACAGTAGAGTCTCGCTTATCTGACATAAATGGGCAGGCAGAATGTCAGGTAAACAAAAATGTCGGATAATACGGAGTCTCCTACTTTTATCCGTCCAACGTGGCGCTAGACACCTAGAATACTAACAACAGGGACTCAAAGGGTTAAGGTAAGGCAATGCCTCGGAGCTAGAGCAGCCTGCAGGAAGTGCCCAGATGCAGAAGGGGAGCATGGAAATCACTGAGGGAAGGAGGGAGGACATTTCCGCTTCCAGTCCTGCCTCTTTTCCCCCTTTCCTCCCCTCTACTCCTCCTCCTTGTCTTGCTTTTTTCACCTATTGGGAATGGAAAGTGAATTGGAGAATGCTCCTTTAATTGAAGGGGAAATGGTTGAGGAAAAGGGGGCCATCAAATAAGACGGAATGTCGGATAAGCGAAGGTTGGATAAGCGAGATTCTACTGTAATTTGACTCTGTCCATTTTAATTCATGATCAGCAAGAGGTTGAGTTTAGTAGAGCTCTCTATCATGGTAAGAATGTTTATATAACCCCACTTCTGATCCCTTTGACCTCTATGTGTGTCCCTGTCGGATAAGTGAAGGTTGGATAAGAAAGATTCTACTGTAATTTGACTCTGTCCACCTTCATTCATGACCAGCAAGAGGTTGAGTCTAGTAGAGCTCTCTATCATGGTAAGAATGTTTATATCACCCCACTTCTGATCCCTTTGACCTCTATGTGTGTCCCTGTTGGATAAGTGAAAGTTGGATAAGCGAGATTCTACTGTAATTTGACTCTGTCCACCCTCATTCATGACCAGCAAGAGGTTGAGTCTACTAGAACTCTTTATCATGGTAAGAATGTTTATTTCTGTGGTGGCCCCGCGGCTTTGGAACGCCCTTCCCATGGAGGTAAGATCAGCCCCCTCATTGATGGTATTCCGGAAAAGACTAAAAACCTGGATGTTCGAGCAGGCGTTTGGTTAACCCAGTGCAATAAGTGTAATGATTGAAGGACTGGCAATTTGGACGACGAAACTGGATCACGTTTTTAGTCAAGAGATGTATTGGATTGTTTATTGATATATGTATTGTGGATTATGTTTTTATGCTTTTTAAACTGTATACTGTTGTTTGTTATAAGTTGTTGTAAACCGCGTTGAGTCGCCGGCTAGGCTGAGAAACGGCGGTATACAAGTATAGCAAATAAATAAATAAAATAAATATCACTCCAATTCTGATCCCTTTAACCTCTATGTGTGTCCCTGTCAGATAAGTGAAGGTTGGATAAGCGAGATTCTACTGTAATTTGACTCTGTCCACCCTCATTCATGACCAGCAAGAGGTTGAGTTTAGTAGAGCTCTCTATCATGGTAAGAATGTTTATATCACCCCACTTGTGATCTCTTTGACCTCTATGTGTGTCCCTGCCTTGTAGATGACAGCTGCCAGGATCAAGCAGGCACCAACTGCGCATTGGCCATTAAGGTGAACCTCTGCAGCCATTGGTACTACAGCAAAGCGTGCTGCCGGTCCTGCCGAGCCCCGCACTCCTAAGCAAGGACAGATGGAGTGAGGGACTCACCGCAACGAGCCAGATGGACGGACCGACGGATAGCTGGGTGCGGCCTGGTGGTGGAGGACCCCCACTTGTTGGCATGGAAAGCAAGGGCCAACTGCGATCCTAGGCATCCGTCCGAGCAGGCTTCTCGTTCACCCAACTCTTTCCCAAGATGGACACTGGTGTTGTTGACCCCATGACTCTGTCATCTTTGACCCCACAACCCTGTTGTCTTTGACCTCACGGCCCCATTGTTTTTGACCCTACAATCCCATTATTGTTGACCCCATGGCTCTGTTGTCTTTGACCTGAACCACCTTATCCTTCTTCGCCCCAACACATCATTGGCATACTATTGTTGACTGACCTCCCCGTTGCTTGCCGAGAACAGATGTGTATGTAGAGCCTTGAATATTTCTCTGAATTGCTCTTGAAAAGTATAGAAAAAGACAGACGTACATATCACTGTGTTACAAATAATAGCACTCAACATCTAAGAAAGTCTAAGCCATCCAACCAGTTCTACGAGGAATACGAACTTAGTATATTCTCTTAGATGGTTATTTGTGTTATTGTTCCTAGCATATGAAACTGAGGCATCTTGGGAGGGAATTTGTAGTATTTTTTCCATATCTTTCATATGTGTTAGTAAACTTGTCAGTCTGCCATCTTTATTTTTGTTCATTATTGGTGCTTGAATTTCGTTTGCCTCGCTTTCGAAGCCAGGTTTGAATGGAAACAAACCCACATCCCTTCGTTTTCTCAACCCCCCACCCACCCATCTCATCGCTCCTCCGAGTAATTTTGTATATGTACGCCATCTTTCTAATTTGCATACATTTGCATCCAAAGGTTTCCCTGACCAGCCTAACTAGGAATTGTGGGAGTTGATGTCCAAAACACCCATACCTGGCTTGGACTGAATTGAGTCTCTACCTGTTGAATTATTGTTTGTTCTTTCCTCGTGACACATTCCCATTCCTCGTTTTTGTCCCAAAAACATTTTAAAATTAGCCACGACGAGTGGAAATTCCCACGTTGACATCAACCCAAACTTTGTAACCCAAGTCCAGGCCTGCAGCCCTTTATGACAACAACATAATGCCAACGTATTATATAGGATAACAAAAAGAAACCACCCATAACTGCACTTTATATCGTAAAAAGAGCCGTGGGCTCTCTTTCTCTCTCTTTCTCTCTAATATATTTATTTACAAACAGTGAACGTTATCCCTGTAACCGTAGAACTGTACCCTTTATGTATATTTTAAATAAAATTTGGTCATATTTATGATACCAGCTGACTGCTCTTCTGTTTGTTTCAAACTGATAAAGCAATGGTTTCAACCTTTTTCTTTGACCAGGGATGACTTGACCAGGGACCATTTTGACAGGGACCACTTGATCAGGGACTACTTGGATCAGGGACCACTTGACCAGGGACTACTTACACTAGGGACTACTTGACTAGGGACCACTTTGACCAGGGACCACTTTGACCAGCGACCACTTGGATCAGGGACCACTTTGACCAAGGACTACTTGATCAGGGACTACTTGGATCAGGGACCACTTGACCAGGGACTGCTTAGACCATGGGCCGCTTTGACCAGGGACTACTTGACCACGGACCACTTGATCAGTGACTACTTGGATCAGGGACCACTTTGACCAGGAACCACTTGATCAGGGACTACTTGAATCAGGGACCACTTGACCAGGGACTACTTAGACCAGGGGCCACTTAGACCAGGGACTACTTGACCATGGACCACTTTGACCAGGGACCACTTGATCAGGGACTACTTGGATTAGGGACCACTTGACCAAGGACTGCTTAGACCAGGGGCCACTTAGACCAGGGACTACTTGACTACGGACCACTTTGACCAGTGACTACTTTGACCAGGGACCACTTTGACCAGGGACCACTTAATAGGGAATCCACCTGTAGCGATGGAGACCACTTGACCAGGGACTGTTTAGACCAGGGGCCACTTAGACCAGAGACTACTTGAACACGGACCACTTTGAGCAGAGACCACTTGGATCAGGGACCACTTGATCAGGGACCACTTTGAGCAGAGACCACTTTGACCAGGGACCACTTGATCAGGGACTACTTGGATCAGGGACCACTTGACCAGGGACAGCTTAGAGCAGGGGCCGCTTAGACCAGGGACTACTTGACCAGGGACCACTTTGACCAGGGACCACTTGACAGGGAAACCACCTGTAGCGGCAGAGACTTTGTGTACAGATCACAGCCGAAAATAGACTGCAACATTTAGAGAGATTATGTGGGAAAGTTGTGGAGAAAATTCAGGGGAAACAGAATGATTTCATGGGTGTCTATTAAATAGCAAAGTTGTTTACCTTAAGGTTAGTTCAGGCAAAGTAGTGACAGAGCAGTGGTTCCCAACCTTTTTTGACCAGGGACTACTTTGACCAGGGACTACTTTGACCAGGGACCACTTTGACCAGAGATAACTCTCCAACAAAAGTACTAAAGGGGTTACGAATCAGTTTTTGGTCAACTTTAGATTCGGTTTGGTTATTTGGGGTGCTGATTCAGAAAATTGCATTGGATAGACCACATCAGCTCTAGTTTTTGATCCAGAACATGTGCCACCCAGTAGTCACCATCTGATCGCCCACAGAAAACCATATTTAATAAGCCTCAGCTTTATAAGAGGGTTTCTTGAGACCAGTCACTCTCATTGCAACGGTGAGGCCGCAGATCATATTTTAGTTCTTGTGGACCACTGATGGTTCATGGACCACAGGTTGGGAACCACTGTGATATAGGATGTAAAGGGACACAATTGTGATAAGGAAACCCAGGACTTGCCCAATGAGTTACTGAGCATCCTTTATGGGCATTTTGCAGAAAAGCGAAGCAGCTACGCGTCATATTATTTTTGGCTCCCCATTGATCCATTTGGCGAATTTTCGTTCATACCACAAATGAGACTGCTTCTCCCTTGATAACAAAGTCAAGATTAAGTTTATTATTTTTTTAAGTTTTTTTTCCGTTTTCAGAGGGTCTTGGAAGTTTTGTACAAGTTTGCCACACTGCCAAAAGTGAACAGAAAACTCATGGAAACAATTCAATCGATTTCAAAGATGCACCAAAAAGGAAACGAAATCCGAAGAAGAGACCAGCGCAAGGAGGAAAAACCCGGAAGATTTAAAAACATTGCCACGATCGAAACGCAACAAATCTCAGCATCTTCAAAAATGCTGTTAAAACATATTATTATTATTATTATTATTATTATTATTATTATTATTATTATTACAAAATCGACTCAAAAGAGTTCTATGGAAGCGGCTGCGGCGGTTACGTCAGATCACTGAAAAGAGACGACAGAAGAAAGCGATGGGAACACTTTCCATAGGGTTTGTTTTTTTTTTCAGTCCAGCGAGGATATTGCAACACGTCACAAACCAGACGGAAACACAACCCGCTCATAGAGACGCTGGCACTGCTTCGGATAAAAGGAGAGTCAATGGAACTGGATTGTGCTTAAAACAATGGCCACTGTTTTCGTTAAAAATAGATAAACAATCATTTCATCTCGATTCCTCTCTCCTATCTTAGTCTGTACATCCTCCGGGCTTTAGCACAGCAGGTTAATCACCAAGCTGTAATAAATCTTGCCAACCGGAAGGCTGAAAGTTCAAAGCCTGGGTCAGGGTGAGCTCCTGACCTTTAGCCCAGCTTCTGCCTACCTAGCAGTTTACAAACAATTTTGTGTGTGTGTGTGTGTCAGGAGCAACTTGAGAAACTACAAGTCATTTCTGGTGTGAGAGAATTGGCCGTCTGCAAGGACGTTGCACAGGAGATGCCTGGATGATTGATGTTTTACCATCCTTGTGGGAGGCTTCTCTCATGTCCCCGCATGGGGAGCTGGAGCTGACAGAGGGAGCTCATCCATGCTCTCTGTCGGAAACAAATGTGAGTAGATAAATACAGGGCAGCCCTAGGTAATTTTCAACGGTAAGCAAACAGTATTTTGGTGCCCCCCCCCCAACCAATCACTGATATACATTTTCTGTTCGTCATGGGAGTTCTGTGTGCCATATTTGGTTCAATTCCATCATTGGTGGAGTTCAGAATGCTCTTTGATTGGAGGTGAACTATACATCCCAGTAACTACAACTCACATATGTCAAGGTCTATTTTCCCCCAAGAGCGCCTCAACAGCGCCCCTGGGCAAAATCAACTATACTGCGAATGCTTACTTTGCGTAATGGTTGGGCCGCCCCTGGATAAATAGGAACCACATTAAAGCAGGCAGGTATTTATTTAGGCTTGGCGTTTCGATCATAAATAGGAGGAAGTTTACAAACAAAGGAAGCTCTTCGGTAGGGAGATGGAGCAACAGCACCCTCCAGTGGCCTGATCCAAGCACAGCCTCCAAAGATGCTGAAAGATGGGAAAAGCCTATATATACCTTGATCTCTTGTCTGTCATGTCATTGTATAATCGGCATCGAATGTTTGGCGTTTTGTGATCCGCCCTGAGTCCCCTTTGGGGTGAGAAGGGAGGAGTATAAATACTATAAAGGGCTGAACTTTAGCACAGCTGGTTAATCACCAGCAGCAATAGAGCACACCAATCGAAAGGTTGTCAGTTCGAAGCCTGGGACAGGGTGAGTACCCGACCTTTAGCCCAGCTCACTCTCCACCTAAGTGGTTCAAAAACAGCTGTGAGCTGTGAGTAAATAAATTAGGCACTGCTTCAGCAGGGAGGTATTTTAATAAAGGTAAAGTTTTCCCCTTGACATTGTGTCCGACTCTGGATGGTGGTGCTCGTCTCCATTTTTAAACCAAAGAGCTGGCGTTGTCTGTAGATGCCTCCAAGGTTATGTAGCCAGCATGACTGTATGGAGCGCCTGGAATGGTACCTATTGATCTACTCACATTGGCATGTTTTAGAACTGCTAGGTTGGAAGAAACTGGGGCTAACAGCGGGAGCTCATCCCACTCCCCAGATTCGAACTGCCATCCTTTCGGTCAGCGAGTTCAGTAAGTAAGTAAGTAAGTTAGTACTCACACTGGCATGTTTTAGAACTGCTAGCTTGACAGAATCTGGAGCTAACAGTGGGAGCTCACCCCACTCCCCGGATTCGAACCGCCATCCTTTCCGTCAGCAAGTTCAGTAAGTAAGGAAGTACTCACACTGGCATGTTTTAGAACTGCTAGATTGACAGAAGCTGGGGCTAACAGTGGGAACTCACCCCACTCCCCGAATTCAAACCGTCATCCTTTCAGTCAGCAAGTTCAGCAGCTCAGCAGTTTAACCTGCTGCGCCACCGGGAGGTATTTTACGGCACCATAAAAAAAGAAATACCAGAAAATGCCAGCAATCAAAGAAAGAGGGAAGTCTGTAATCAAGGGCTCTTCATCACAGAGGATGGAGCGACAGCACCCTCCTGTGGCCGGAATCGAGCATGACCTCCAGAATGCCGAAGTTGGGGAAAATGTCGACATAATACCTCTATCTGTTGTCTGTCCTGTCTGTTTAATGGCATTGAATGTTTGCCGGGTATGTGTCCTGTTATCCGCCTTGGGTCCCTTTCGGGGTGAGAAGAGCGGAATATAAATACTGCAAATAAATAAATAAATAAATAAACAAAACAGATTCAGTTTTCAAGGTCAGCCTGAAATCTTCCAACTCCTACATTTTAAAATCAAAATTCAGCCTGATTTGTGGAGCCTGGTGCCCCTAAACCATGCATAAAGCCCTCTAAGTAAGTGGAAGCACATCAAAAATACCCCCTGCAAGCATTGCAGTACCCTATACTGCCCCCCCCCCCCGAACCATACTCTACCCCCATTTGTCTCTGTAATCCCTCTCAAAATGGCACCAGGAAGCCATTTTGAGAAGGAGCACAAAAGAAAGGTGCTGTTGCTAGAAAAGCAGAAGTGAATGCTTCCTTGTGCTGTCACCATCGAGTCTCTCGAGACGGTACTGGTACTTGAGACGGTACCAGTTCAGATATTAGCTGTGGATTGGTCCCATTGTTGCCAAGGATGGGTTCTTGGAGGATACAGAAAGCTGTTGGAGCAAGAGGCTCAGAGCCAAAGTCCAGAAGCCATCTTGCATTGGAAGGTCTTCTTGGTGAGACCACACAAAGCATGGCATGACTATGGGTCAACTGGAAGCAAGGAGAAGGTGGACTCCTCTATGAGAAACCTCCAAAGGGCATGCCCGAATCCAACAAAACATCCCCAAAATTATCACAAAAGGTCTTCTTGGCGAGACCACGCAAAGCTTGGCATGACTATGGGTCAACTGGAAGCAAGGAGAAGGTGGACTCCTCTATGAGAAACCTCCAAAGGGCATGCCCGAATCCAACAAAACATTCCCAAAATTATCACAAAAGGTCTTCTTGGCGAGACCACGCAAAGCATGGCTTGACTATGGGTCAACTGGAAGCAAGGAGAAGGTGGACTCCTCAAGAAACCTCCGAATCCAACAAAACATCCCCAACATTATCACAAAAGGTCTTCTTGGTGAGACCATGCAAAGCATGGCATGACTATGGGTGAACTGGAAGCAAGGAGAAGGTGGACTCCTCTACGAGAAACCTCCAAAGGGCATGCCCGAATCCAACAAAACATCCCCAAAATTATCACAAGAGGTCTTCATGGCATGACTATGGGTCAACTGGAAGCAAGGAGAAGGTGGACTCCTCTACAAGAAACCTCCAAAGGGCATGCCCGAATCCAACAAAACATCCCCAAAATTATCACAAGAGGTCTTCATGGCATGACTATGGGTCAGCTGGAAGCAAGGAGAAGGTGGACTCCTCTATGAAAAACCTCCAAAGGGCATGCCCGAATCCAACAAAATATRCCCAAAATTATCACAAAAGGTCTTCATGGCATGACTATGGGTCAGCTGGAAGCAAGGAGAAGGTYGACTCCTCTACAAGAGACCTCCAAAAGGCATGCCCGAATCCAACGAAAATCCCCAAAATTATCACAAAAGGTCTTCTTGGCGAGACCACGCAAAGCTTGGCATGACTATGGGTCAGCTGGAAGCAAGGAGAAGGTGGACTCCTCTACGAGAAACCTCCAAATCCAACAAAAAATCCCCAAAATTATCACAAAGTCTTCTTGGTGAGATTATGCAAAGCATGGCATGACTATGGGTCAACTGGAAGGAAGGAGAAGGTGGACTCCTCTACGAGAAACCTCCAAAGGGCATGCCCGAATCCAACAAAACATCCCCAAAGTTATCACAAAAGGGCAGGAAGCTCTCTCCCAGCGTCCAGTCACGGCCAAGGAAGGAGGACAAAGGAGCGGAAGGTAGCCATGCGAGATGCGCTGACGGCAAAGAAGGGGAACGGCGGCGTCGGCGTACAAAAGGAAGCCAGGTATCAAAAGCTCAAATACATTTAGATTCGCATTCTTGCCTTCTCGCCCTAACGGAGTCGGCGACACCCGGCGTTGGCGGTCCGTCGGCACCCCTCCTTCCTCGTGACCTACAACGCTGTATTCATGAATATTAATATAGGTAAACATAACAACATAGAAATACATTCATTGTTTTCAAAAGACGTTGCCCGTTCGGTTTTCTTCCTTTTCCACAAGCCATGGCGGTGTTTTAGAAAAAAGCCCCAAAGGTGTCGGAAACCGCGGAACTCACTCCATCGCGATGGCGGGATGCCGGCCTTCTTGGCAACTTGGCGGTGCCCGTTTTCTCCCCGCCATCAGACGTCGGTGCTGATGCTGCGGCTACGGGAGAAGGCCTCGCGCATGGCCGAGAGGCGGTTGGGGTTGAGGGACTGGAGGTTGTTGGCGCTGACGGGCAGTTCCAAGTCTTCCTGGCTGATGGCCTTGTAGTTGACCAGGTCGCCCCCATTGCGGACCTCCTCTTCGGGTTCCTGGAGGAAGAAGGTGGGCGGCTCATAGTGGGAGCAGCTGGGGCAGACCGTCCGGCACTGGGAGGCCTTCTTGAACGGGGACGGGGAGTGGTACAAGGAGGGGCCGTTGGTCAGAGCCACGTTGCGGTTGCAGTGGAGCGGTGGGATGCGGGAGTCCGCATCGAAGTCCGGCTCCTCCCCATCCTCTTCCGACTCATCCTTCTTGCAGCAGTAGTACTGGGGAAAGCAGCAAGGAGAAAGATTAGTCGGAGGAAGTCCTCCTGAGATGCCATCTCACTGCGAGAAAGCTATTGATCTCAATCAGGGGTGGGCAGAGAAGGGTATGGACCTTGGGAAACTATAACTCCCAGGAAGCCATGGTATGGAGCTATGGCATTTAAAGTGGGGTTCAAGAGCATTCATTCCATAGTGTAAATGCACCCAGACAAGGGTATGGATCTTGGAAAACTCCCAGGAACAAATGGTATGGATCTAGGGTATTTAAAATGGGATCCAAGAGCATTCATTCCATAGTGTAAATGCACCCAGAGAAGGGTAGGGATCTTGGAAAACTATAACTCCCAGGAACGCATGGTATGGAGCTATGGTATTTAAAGTGGGGTCCAAGAGCATTCATTCCATAGTGTAAATGCACCCAGAGAAGGGAATGGACCCTGGAAAACTACAACTCCCAGGAAGGCATGGTATGGAGGTATGGCAATTAAAGTGGGGTCCAAGAGCATTTATTCCATAGTGTAAATGCACCCAGAGAAGAGTAGGGACCTTGGGAAACTATAACTCCCAGGAATGCATGATATGGAACCATGGTATCTAAAGTGGGATCCAAAAACATTCATTCCATAGTGTAAATGCACCCAGAGAAGGGATTGGAACTTGGGAAACTATAACTCCCAGGAATGCATGATATGGAACCATGGTATTTAAAGTGGGGTCCAAGAACATTCATTCCATAGTGTAAATGCACCCAGAGAAGGGTATGGACCTTGGGAAACTATAACTCCAGGAATGCATGATATGGAACCATGTTATTTAAAGTGGGATCCAAGAACATTCATTCCATAGTGTAAATGCACCCAGAGAAGGGAATGGACCTTGGGAAACTATAACTCTCAGGACTGCACAGCAAGGAGACATGACATAATAACAACAACAACAACAACAACAACAACAACAATTTAAAATGGGTCCCTTCTGCATTTATTCTCCAGTGCAGATGCGCCCAGATGGACCTTGGGAAACTATAACTCCCAGGACTCCATCGCATGGAGCCATGACATAATAAACTTTCCCTAACAAGGGCATCTTGGCTCCTCCCACAATAGGACTCAGTGGAATTTAGTAAATGTGATGAATTGGTAGATATCCAACCACCAAAGGTTGTAGGATGTTGGGACACGCAACTGGGCATCTCCTGTGCACCACCAACTTGGAACATGCTCATATGGGAGACATAGTCTTTCAGATATCTGCACCCAAAGACATTTGAAGCAAACCCCTTAATGTTATCCCAAACCCAGTCAAATTGTAATACCTGGAGCCTACAATAGCAGAGAACAGCTATGATACACAATAAGATGACAGTTGCTAATATTCCGCCGGTGATGACCACAGTCCCGGCTGTCATTCGACCTCTTCTCCATTAACACCCTGCAAGACACAAGAGAAGATGAGGAAGCATGAAGAGCTAGGCATTCAAAGAAAGAGAATCCAGAGAGAATGATATGCTTGTGTATAAGTTGACCTCAAGTATAAATCCAACAACAGTCTTGGACAGCAGTGGCTCCCAAAGTGACCCATTTAAGGTGGAATCAGGTGTCAAATAGGGATGTGTTATTGCCCCAATATTATTCTCCATCTTCATCGCTATGATACTTCATCTTGTTGATGGGAAACTTCCCACCAGAGTTGAAATCATCTATTGGATTAACCTCAGCAGACTGAAAGCCAAAACCAAGGTTACAACATCTGTAACTCCAATATGCTGATGATAGAACTCCAATATGCTGATGATAACGTAGTCTGGCCACATTCAGAAGAAGGCCTACAAGCCACGCTAAACACCTTTGCAGAAACACATGACAAGCGTAGCCTCTCATTGAACAATGAGAAAACCAAAGTGCTCTTCCAGCAAGCACCAGCCAATCCCTCTAAAACACCAAGATCAAAACAACATCTGTCATAGAACTCCAATATGCTGGTGATAATGTAGTCTGTGTGCATTCAGAAGAAGACCTACAAGCCACTCTAAACACCTTTGCAGAAGCATACGAGCTCAGCCTCTCATTGAACATCGAGAAAACCAAAGTGCTCTTCCAGCAGGCACCAGCCAATCCCTCTACAAAACCAAGGTCGCAACAACATCTGTTATAGAACTTCAATATGCTGGTGATAATATAGTCTGGGCACATTCAGAAGAAGACCCAGTAGCCGCTCTAAACACCTTTGCAGCAGAATACGACAAGCACGGCCTCTCACTGAACATTGAGAAAACCAAAGTGCTCTTCCAGCAGGCACCAGCCAATCCCTCTACAAAACCAAAGTCAAAACAACATCTGTTATAGAACTCCAACATGCTGATGATAACATAGTCTGTGCACATTCAGAAGACCTACAAGCCACTCTAAACACCTTTGCAGAAACATATGAGAATCTCAGCCTCCCATTGAACATTGAGAAAACCAAAGTGCTCTTCCAGCAGTCACCAGCCAATCTTCTGCAATGTCAGAAATACAGCTTAATGGTGTAACATTAGAAAATGTTGACCAACATTGACACTGAAATACAACACTGCCTGAGCTCTGCGAGAGTGTTTGAGGATATCCGCAGGGAGACCAAAGTGCTTATTTATATAGCTACTAGCCATCCCCTGCCACGCGTTGCTGTGGCCTACATGGGGGTTCTGTGTGGGAGGTTTGGCCCAATTCTATCGTTGGTAGGATTCAGAATGCTCTGTGATTGTAGGTGAACTATAAATCCCAGCAACTACAACTCCCGAATGTCAAGATTCTATTTTCCCCAAACTCTACCAGTGTTCACATTTGGACATATTGAGTATTAGTGTAGAGTTGGTCCAGATCCATCATTGTTTGAGTCCACAGTGATCTCGGGATGTAGGTGAACTACAACTCCAAAACCAAAGGACCCACCAAACCGTTCCAGTATTTTCTGTTGGTCATGGGAGTTCTGTGTGCCAAGTTTGGTTCAATTCCATCCTTGGTGGGGTTCACAATGCTCTCTAGTTGAACTATAAATCCCAGCAACTACAACTCCCAAATGACAAAATCAGTTTTTTTGAGTGAAGGACATACATTGGGTTGTTAGGTGCCTTGTGTCTAAATTTGGTACCAAGTCATCCAGTGGTTTTTGAGTTCTGTGAATACCACAAACCAACATAACATTTTTATTTATATAGATTGTCCTCCCAACCCTGAGAAACGTGGACTGTCTAGAGACGTCACACACAACTCCTGGAATGATTCCATCAGCGTTGCTTCTGAAAAATCCTGCAAATCTCTTTGGAACTCCCAACTCAACAGAAAATGGAATGTTGGTGAACAGGAAAAGATATTTAAAGATAGGCTTAAAGCTATTGTCCTCCCAACCCTGTAAAACGTGGACTGTCTACAGACATCATACTCAACTCCTGAAAAATCCTGCAAATCTCTTGGGAAGGCAGGCAGACAAAGGTCAGTGTGCTGAAGAAGCAAAGATCACTGGCATCGAAGCGATGCTCCTACACCATCAACTCCGCTGGACTGAAGGCCACGTTGTCCAAATGCCCAAAGATCACTGTCTCCGAAAGCGGTTACTATACGCCCAACTCAAGAACGGAAAATGGAATGTTGGTGAACAGGAAAAGATATTTAAAGATGGGCTTAAAGCCCTGTGATATGCCTGCGAAACGTGGACTGTCTACAGACATCTCACTCAACTCCTGGAATGATTCCATCAACGGTGTCTCTGAAAAATCCTGCAAATCTCTTGGGAAGCCCTGGCCCTTGAGCATTCTACTGGAGGTCAGCTTTGACCAGCAGTGCTGTGGAATTTGAAGGGGCATGAATGGAGGGCAAAAGGGAGAAACGTGCCAAGAGGAAGTCACGTTTGGGACCGCCTTCCACTTGGAAACTGATGTCCTCACTGAGGAAGAACATAGGGCTCCACTGCCACCTATGTATCCACTGCGAAGGCCATCATCCTTGGGCTACGAGGGACTGCCTAGTACAAAAATAAATCCTCCCTCAACATCGCTTGGCACGCACATCCCAATTTTTATCTGCAAAGCTTTGGAGGGTCTGGTATTTGGTATTCTCAAAAGGTCGGTTCAACAAACCAAGCGAGTGCAGAATTATCTGAGCACGAAAACAAAAGGCTCGAGCTGGAAGTCCAACGCAAGCCACAAAAACCAAAAGAATACGGTTGCAAAGCTTTGGGAGCCTCGGCTGCCAAAGCAACGCGAGGCCTCATTGTTGCAAATTTGCTGCCCATTAAAAAGAACGGGACGAGTATCCGAGTCCCGTCTAGACTTTGGCCTGGCACCGCTTCGCATTTTTCTCTGACACCACTACATCACTGAATTTCTCCCTTCGTTTTCGGTTCCCCTACCATGTGTATTCACCGGAGCTGATCTGCTAAAAGAAGTGGTATTTCCACCCCCGAAAAGTCTAATTTCTGCTTCTAACGACACTTCCAAATTCTAATCGGTACTACAATGACATTGAGGGCCTGCAATGTGATGTCTCTAACAGAGAATATACTTTTCCTCAAGGCTAATAGAGCTGTTCTAAATCTGGGTTGCTGTGAGTTTTCCAGGCTGTGTGGCCATGTTCCAGAAGCATTCTCTCCTGACGTTTCACCCACATCTATGGCAGGCATTTTCAGAGGTTGAGAGCTCTGCTGGAAATTAGGCAAGTAGGGTTTATATATCCATGGCATGTCCAGGGTGGGAGAAAGAACTCTTATCTGTTGGAGGTAAGTGTGAATGTTGCCATTGGCTGTCGCTCCATCTCCCTGCCAAAGAGCTTTGCTCGTAAACTTCCTCCTTGATCGAATCGCCAACATTTTTCTGAGATTTCCTTATGGGTACCTTAAAATACCTCCCTGTTGGGAATCAGCCTGTTTTTGTGTTTCAGGAACCTGATATGGGAAATGATGAGGGAAATGATGGTGACGAGGCTGAGGTACAAGATGGAGATGGTTTGGTCAATGATTTTCAGGCAGAAAATGACAGAGAGGCCTCAGTGCAAAGGGCAGTTTCTCATGAGAATATTCCTGCTGGGCCTAGCAATGATAGTTCGCTTCCTCTCTCTGTGAGTTCTCAAGATTTGGGTTTAATAAACAATCTGACACCTGGGAATTTTAATGAGCAGCCAGATAGGGAGCTGAAGAATAGGCGGCTGGAGATTAGCCAGGATCGACAGCAAACTCAGTGTTTACGTCGCTCCGAAAGGCTTCGTCTGATAAGAGGGAAATGTGGGGGGAAGCGAAACCAATCTCTGAGTTTTGGGATATAAGGTTTGCCTCAAGGGAAACCTGTTAGATCAGGCATCATTTGGAAACCAAGTTCATGTGCCATGGAAATCCTGTTCAAGGAGTCTTGTTCCTGTGGAGATTTTTAGCCTTTTGGATTGTCTTTACATCCTGTCTGGATTAATGCCCTCTTGGATTGCTTTTATTACTTGTGTGGACATTGCTTTGTTTTACCGCTTTTTAGGGACTTATTACTTTTTGGAACCTTCTTAGAGTCATAGAATCATAGAATCACAGAGTTGGAAGAGACCGCATGGGCCATCCAGTCCAACCCCCTGCCAAGAAGCAGGAATATTGCATTTAAATCACCCCTGACAGATGGCCATCCAGCCTCTGTTTAAAAGCTTCCAAAGAAGGAGCCTCCACCACACTCCGGGGCAGAGAGTTCCACTGCTGAATGGCTCTCACAGTCAGGAAGTTCTTCCTCATGTTCAGATGGAATCTCCTTTCTTGTAGTTGGAAGCCATTGTTCCATTGCATCCTAGTCTCCAGGGAAGCAGAAAACAAGCTTGCTCCCTCCTCCCTGTGGCTTCCTCTCACATATTTATACATGGCTATCATATCTCCTGTCAGCCTTCTCTTCTTCAGGCTAAACATGCCCAGCTCCTTAAGCCGCTCCTCCTGGGGCTTGTTCTCTAGACCCTTGATCATTTTAGTCGCCCTCCTCTGGACACATTCCAGCTTGTCAATATTTCTCTTGAATTGTGGTGCCCAGAATTGGACACAATATTCCCGGTGTGGTCTAACCAAAGCGGAATAGAGCATGGGGAGCATGACTTCCCTAGATCTAGACACTATGCTCCTATTGATGCAGCCCAAAATCCCATTGGCTTTTTTTGCCGCTACATCACATTGTTGGCTCATGTTTAACTTGTTGTCCACAAGGACTCCAAGATCTTTTTCACACGTACTGCTCTCGAGCCCGGCATTGTCCCCCATTCTGTATCTTTGATTTCGTTTTTCTTACAAGCATTTATTTCTTCTGGCTATTTACTAAGCTTCAATAAAAGAAGATTTGTCTCTTCAATCTTCGTGTGGTGTGTTTTAAAGTCAGAGGGCTTCTTCCTGACCTGGAGTGCAACACTCCCTGCTTTTAAGCTGTACCTATTTATCTACTCACA